TTGTTACGTATGATTCAGAACTTGTTACGTATGATACAGAACTTGTTACTTATGATTCAGAACTTGTTACGTATGATTCAGAACTTGTTACGTATGATGCAGAACTTGTTACTTATGACGCAGAACGATGCACAATTTGGAGTTCCGCTTGATTCGAAAACATAAGCAAAAATAATTTTTCTGAGAAAATAGCGCTTAATTTGCGCAAATAATATCGCCCTTTCCTGGCAACTCTAATATAGTTTAATAATAGTTTAAAATATTAAAGGTCTACACCATTGGGTGCAAAGATATAGGGATTATAAAATTCGAGTTTGTGGCAGAAACTCATTTGTTTTGGGTATTTTATATAATTAAACAATCCCTTTTAAATACCTTTAATCCCAAAATATTTAGACCTAATTATAAACACTGGGGTTTTTTTCTTTAGCAAATTAAAAACATCTCTGTTATAAGTAAATTGATATTTTAAGAATTGTAGGGATTTTTTAAAGTAAGGTGCAGGGGCTAATTTCAATTAATTGTTGAGGTTGCTAAATTGCCTATCGTAGCGTCGGTTCAAATCATGAATCACCAATTCAAATCCACATGTTTCTATAATTTTGAATCAGTAATTCAGCGACCTTTCTCCAATTAATTAAGTTTCGTCCCAGATTGCATTTAGTCTTTCAAAAAAAGTTGCTCGTGTGTTTTGCTTAAAATCTTTTTTCTATTTAAAATAAGTTCTGCTTAATTCATGCAACTTTCTAAAATAAGTTATAAAATTACATTTCTGTAATACTAGAGTCCATCAGTAAAAGAGTTGGAAAAAACCACAAGTAACTAATTGTAAAGTGCCCAGCAAATTAGGTTTATACTGTAATGACAACCTTTATTAGTTTTACTTTATTTTATATAAATAGTAGTCTAAAACTTAAGTTGAAAAGAGGAAATACACATTACTAGCACCCAAATGAAAATGCAGAAAACAGCAAGATTTGTAAAACAGTGGGCCTCAACAAACATTTTAATCCCAAAAAAACACTTTCATTTCACCTTTTCTCAACTCTTCAACTTAGTTTTGAACTAACAGACGTCTCTTTGACATGTAACATTTTTGTAATTTTTATTTTCCCTGACTGTAGAATTCAATATTTTTATTTTCCCTGACTGTAGAATTCAATATTTTTATTTTCCCTGACTGTAGAATTCAATATTTTTATCCTGACTGTAGAATTCAATATTTTTATTTTTATGGGCTTAAATCTCCATTGTAGATTTTTAACAGCTGTAAATGCTAAATACTACAATTAAAACAAATTCCTATTTATTTTCGAAAAATATAATTTGAGCTTTTGGATTCTGTATTTATGGTCTTAAGGTTAAGGATGCTTTTAAGAGAGGCTTTCGTTGTATTAAAAGATATCTACCTGATTCCAGGAATAGACCAAAAATGTCCAGATTCCTATATTTAAGCTGTGTTTTTTTTTATTTTCAACATGTAAACTGATAAACTTTAAGTTTCCATTACGTGTTATCATGAGAATATTTCATTTTTCATTCTGTGAATTAGAAATATTTCAGTTTTTATTCTGTGAATTAGATATATTTCAGTTTGTATTCTGTGAACTAGAAATATTTCAGTTTGTATTCTGTGAACTAGAAATATTTCAGTTTGTATTCTGTGAATTAGAAATATTTCAGTTTGTATTCTGTGAATTAGAAATATTTCAGTTTGTATTCTGTGAATTAGAAATATTTCAGCTTGTATTCTGTGAACTAGAAATATTTCAGTTTGTATTCTGTGAACTAGAAATATTTCAGTTTGTATTCTGTGAACTAGAAATATTTCAGTTTGTATTCTGTGAACTAGAAATATTTCAGCTTGTATTCTGTGAACTAGGAATATTTCAGTTTCCATTCTGTGAATTATAAATATTTCAGTTTCTATTCCGTGGAAACTGGAAATATTTCATTTTTCATCATGTAAACTGGAAATATTTTAGTTTCCATCATGTAAACTCGAAATGTTTTATTTTTTCATCATGTAAACTGAAAATATTTCATTTATCATTACGTAAACTAAAAATATTTATTTTTCAGCACTTAAGCTGGAAATATTTCATTTATCATCACGTACACTGGAAATGATTAATTTTTCATCGCGTGAACTGGAAATATTACAGTTTCCATTGAGTAAACTGTAAACCTTATAGTTTATATTATGTTAACTGTAGATATTTCAGTTTATATTACGTAAACTTAAAATATTTAATTTTCATCACCTAAACTGGACATATTTAATTTTCATTACCTAAACTGGAAATATTTAATTTTTTATCTCGTAAACTGGAAATATTTCATTTATCATCACGAAAACTGGATTTTTTTTACTAAGTGAACTAGAAATTAAATACAAATGATATTGTTTAGTGCTTTGAGTGCAGATGACTCGGGAATCTACACTTGCAGGAAAAAGTCGTAACAATACTTTATTATTCATAATAATTAATGTATTCCCTTTGTATTAATTTGATTAAGAGAAAACTATTGTTGAGCTAAATACTTTTAATGTTTATTTTCTTCATTATTTAGATAAACAACTAACGAGGTGAAAAACGATGTAAACCGGTTTCTTTGCTAGAGAAATTACGAATTACATCAAACTTTATGCATTTTTTATGGTCTTTTTTTGCATGCAAAATATTGCGCTTTAAATAATTTGAAATTAAGATTTTCAGAATGGAGGAAATTAAGTTTACATAAATGACAAAGATTCTACAAGCCTACATTTGTTACATAAACCGCGCTGGGTCCATTACACACTTCTAGACAGACTGGTACGAGTAAATGTGTATTATTACTCATGACAAATAACCTTTGTTAATTTTTTAATCAATTATTTTCTAAGAATTTTTTTTCTAGATTTAATGATGAAAAAGAATTGATTAAAATATTTTTTATATGTGCTGTTAACCTTTAAGAACCAATCTTAATCTTAATATATTTCTTACTAATTCCTTCTAATACCACTCAGACGGGCACCTACCCCCCCCCCACATATATTTCTTACTAATCCCTTCTAATACCCCTCAGACGGGCACCTCCCCCCCCCCACATATCTCATCTCTGCCCTAAGTTGTGTAAGTTATCCCGAAGTTTGTGATATACATTATTTAATATAGAACTTGGGTAGATTGTTGCCGGAAGATAATGATTTATATCCTGTGGATTCCCTTATGAAGGGACTGAAAGTGTAATGTTAATGGCCTTGCCCGATTCAAAAATCGGTAACATTGAAATTTTTGTCGGATCAGGTATCAATGTTATATTTTAAAAATTAACAAAAGTGACTAGAGCATTTCTACTTCAGGAATTATCAGAATTAAACCATTTTAAACCTATAAAAACGATAAAATCTTCAACATCATTGATCAGATAAATGTTAAAAGGGTACTGTTCTTAATAGGACATTGCTATCTTTGCAGAAGGGTCACTTCAAATTACGCAAACAGTCCCTTTAAGCGCGCTCATATATGCCGGATTTCAAGAGGGCGGAGTGGGATTCCTGTTGTGCACAATGTCTCGAAAAATTTCAAAACAGAGAGAGGGGGATTGAATTTTGTAGATCCAGAAAAATAATATCTGTGGGATGCCTGCGTAGAGACTGGCAGCTGGTGGGGTCTTAAATGTAAGACATGTGGTTTCAGCGCTCGGCCCCCTAGCCTGTCCTAGCCGCAGCGCTCGGCCCGAAAAGTGTCCTAACCTAACCTAACTCTAAATAAATACTAATTTAATTATTTTTCTGGATCTACAAAATTCAATTCCCCTATCTCTGTTTCGGAATTTTACGGGACATTGCGCACAACAGGAATCCCACTCCGCCTTTCAAGAGACCCTCCATTTGAAGAGTGATATGCCCGATACATGTACTCTTTAAAACTTTAAGCAACAATTGAAAAGTAGCGTTATTTTCATATAAAAAACGTTCATTTTTTGTCGATTCCCCCCTGGTCTATGCTGCATAAACCCTAAAATCACGTTTATAGAGAAAACCGCAATTAAAAATTAATGATTTTCATGTTGAAAAAAAAACTATTTTTTTTATTTTTTTTCTCCGACAAAGATAAGATTTGAAATTTAAAGTTCTCTTTAAACTTTTCCATAATTCATTTTTTATTTGTAATCTGCAATTTGACTGGTGACCATATTGGATTGGATGATAGTTTTATAAAGGAAAGTTCTAAAATGAAAAAGTGAATTAAACAAAGAAAAACAATTTTAATTTTTTTCTCTGATGATGCAGGCATGAAAAAGAAAGCAGTAGATTTTATCTTTATCTCTTACTATACCACCTATACCCTTTGTACCCTCTATGGTTTAAAAAAAAAATGTATTATTTGGACGAATTAGTTAAAACTGTTAAAGTTATGCGGTTTCCCAAATAAAAGGTTACTAGAAATTATGTCTACAATCCTTTTAAAGAATCTATATATATATACGTAAAAGGACTAGGCTTTAAGGTCGCTTCGCGCCCATCTTCTATTTCAATTGTGAACATTTTTCTCTTTGTATAAATTGTAAAACAAAAACAAAAAAAGTTTGTGGATTTTCTAAATAAAAATTTGTGGATTTACTAAATTTAAAAGAAATCGAATTTTGTTGAAGGCAAATTTTTGAAGTTTTGATCCTCCATACACCTTCCCTGGGGTAACATGATGTCCCACACAAAATTTTGGTCCCATCGTTAAAAGCCGTTTTAAAATTTATTGGATACAAACGGACAGACAAACAAACAAACTGTTAATATAGATGTAATCTCTGTTTTGATGTTTGTTTGTATGTCCGATCAAAACTTATGAACCCATTGACCGATTTACCTCTAAGCTTAGTGGGTCTGCTTTTACAGGAAAAACGTTGATGTCGCAATTTACTCGTAATTTATCGTAACTATGAGTACTCTGGTTCTCAAGTTCTCAAGCTAGTATGATTATAAAATTAAAGACGACTGTTCCTGCAGAGTTGATTATACACAGTCTCCAACTGACTACAAGAATATTTTCCTTAAAGTTACAGGTCAGTATTCTTATCTTCAAAATAAATATATATCTTCAATTGATTATAGGTTATATTCCTATATACAAAACAAGAATATATCTTCAAGATTATAGTTTATATTCCAATATACAAAACAAGAATATATCTTCAACATTATAGGTTTAATTCCTATATACAAAACAAGAATATATCTTCAAGATTATNTGTACAGATATATATCATCCTAGTTAAACTATAAATACGTATCTAGTCTAATTACATATTTGAGAATTAGTTAGATTTAAATACAATTTACAACGTAATTTTTCTAGGTATGTTCAACGATATTTATTACGATTATATATCATAGTTTATTAAATTATGCTATGAAAAAGAAAAATTTTAATTAACAAAACTTGATTTCCAAGAAAAAATGCCGCGTCAAAAATTAATTAACTTTTTTATCAAAGTTATTAAACAGTTTCATTAAAAAAGTTTGATGAAAGAATAACTTTGTGTTCGGAAAATGTTTACACAAAAAATAAGAAAATTAAACTTCAAATTTTCATCATTTTATGATACTTGAATACCATTTTGTCGTTTACCTTTTAGCTTTTCTTTTGTGTTTGTCGATTTTTTTACTAAAATCAAAATATTTAGTTTTTAATCTAAAATCTTAAACATGTCGTACATATTTTTTTTACTTCATCTCATGTCTAATCGGACTAACCTGTTAATTTCCTTGGATAAAAACCACAAAAATTCTTCAAAATTATTATTATATTGTTGTTTAGAGAAAATATATCTTTTATTTTTAATCCCCCCGGACTTAGAGGATTGTCGGCACGCAATCAGAGTTTCATGAATCCCAGAGGATTGCCGAATTCCAGAACCAACATAATTTTTCTTTTATTAAAAATATATATTTTCATCATTATCAGAAAGGGCAATTTTTTTAAAGCCTGAAGATTATCATTAAGTTAGGAAAAGAAATATGAGATCAAATTGGAATCAGATAACGCCGGGGACAATATCTGCAGTATGATATTTGTGACTTGTCTTTCACAATATCTGGGACAATGTCTTTAACCCTAAACAGGCTGGGGGGGGAGGGGGGACGTTTGTCCCCCCCTGTAGTTTTTTTGTCCTAGAACTCTCATTTTTGAAACTATCAGTCACTGTGAAATTTTGTGACTTTTAATGAATAATAATTTAAAGGATTTTTTTTAAACAATATTTTTTTAAAATTTATAGGGTAGGGTACAGGGCGGAGAAAAAAATCTGGTCTGTGAAAAAAATCTAAAATAGCACATAGCTTTTTTTGTGACTAAAGATACAGATCTAAAAACTATATTTTTGAAAATCCCTTGAAAAATGCACGTAGAAACATGAGTCACACTTTGATATTTGTTTAAAACAAAACAAAAATATTTGTTTCATTTTTTGAACCCTTTTTTATGCATTTTTTTCACCCTCCCCAGCACCCAAACTATTAAAGTTATCGGTCTAGTTTTTTTTCTTTGAGCTAGCCATGGAAAATTGGGCTATGAACACCCTTTTCAACCCTATTCTCTAAGGCCTTTTTCTACAGGCTATACGTAGATTCAGAGCCCCCAGCCTTTATTGGGTTAACAATACATGGGACGATGTCTTTGTCAATATGTAGGACGACATCTTTAACGATATCTGGGATGATGTCTTTGGCGAAATCTGGGACGACGTCTTTGACAATATCTAGGACAAATGTCTCTGGCGATATCTAGGTCGATGTCTTTGATAATATTTAGGACAATGTCTTTGACGATATCTGGGTCAAAGTCTTTGACGATTATTGGGACGATGTCTTTGAGATTATCCTAGACAATGTTTTTGACAATATATATCTGGGATGAAGTCTGTGACGATAAATTAGATGATGTCTTTAGCGATATCTAGGACGATGTCTTTGACAATATCTTGGACGATATCTGGGAAAATGTCTTTGATAATATCCAGGACAATGTTTTGACAATATTTGGCATGCTGCCGTTGACTATATCTGGGTGTCTTTAACTATATCCAGCACTATAAATGTCTTAGGAAAAGACAATATCAAAGAATTGAGTTAAAAATGCATAAAAATATTTTCTTTGCCTGAATAAAATGTTAAGATTTTTAATTGTTTCTTGAAAGTCAAGAAATGAACAATAAAAAAAAGAGACCAAATGCCAATCCCATTTCTTCTTTTGCCTTTGCGATTTTAAAAGGTTTAAAACCTTTAATTCTTTGTTTTGTGAAGTTAATATTTCAGTGCCCCCAAGAAGCCTGGTGATTATGGGTGATCGTGGAACAGTTTATAAACCAGGAGATCCTGTTGGACCTTTAACAGAGGGTCAATCTTTTACTACTGTTTGTAAAGTGTCAGGAGGTAATTAAAACTAATTAGGAGGTAGTTAACAAGTAATTATGAGGTAATTAACATTAATTAGGAGGTAATTAACAAGGAATAGGAAGATAATTAACAAGTAATTAGGAGGTAATTAACGAGTAATTAAGAGAAAATTAACAAGTAATTAGGAAATAATTAACAAGTAATTATGAGGTAGTTAACAAGTAATAAGGAAGTAATTAACAAGTAATTAGGAGGTAATTAACACGTAATTAGGAGGTAATTAATAAGTAATTAGGAGGTAATTAACATTAATTAGGAGTTAATTAACAAGGAATAGGAAGATAATTAACAATTAATTAGAAGGTAATTAACGAGTAATTAAGAGAAAATTAACAAGTAAATAGGAAATAATTAACAAGTAATTATGAGGTAGTTAACAAGTAATAAAGAAGTAATTAACATGTGATTAGGAGGTAATTAATACGTAATTAGGAGGTAATTAACAAGTAATAAGGTGATTGATTAGTAGTAGGTAGTTAACTAGCAAATAATTAATAAGCAATTAACAAGTAATTAGGTGATTGGTTAGTAATTAGAAGACAATTTACAGTGAATAGGAGGCAATTAAGAATAAAATTGGAGGTAAATAAGCAATTATGAGGTAATTAAGAAATAATTAGGAGGTAATTAACAAGTATTAATATTATTGATTAGTATTTAGGATGTAAATTATAAGTAATAAGGTTATTGATTAGTAGTTTGGAGGTAGCTAATAAGTTAAAGGAGGTAATTAAGAAGTAAGTCTGTAATTGATAGGGAATTAGAATGTAAAAAAGAGTAATTAGGAGGATATCAATTAGTAATTAGGAGGTGATGATGACTAATAATCAATAATTAGTAGGTTATTTATAATTAGGAGGTAATAAGTAATTAGGGGTGAATAGTAATTAGAAGTTTTTTAGTTATTAGAAGGTATAACATGTAATTTAAGTAGGTGATTACTATTTAGGAGGTATTTGGTAATTAAGAAGTATTTAATAATATTCAACGATGTTTAGTTCTTAGGATTTGATTTCTTATTAGGAAGTGTTAAGTAATTAGAAGATATTTTACAATTAGGAGGTAGTTTTAAAGTATTTAAAATCTTATTACATGTAAATAGCATTAGTAATGTTTTGTAACAAGTTTTGATAAATTCCTATTTACATTTAAAGTAAAACCAATATCTTTCATTTTCGTTATTTTTCAAGTATCTAATTAGAGTTTTTAATGATATTATCTAACTTGAAAAATGTATTGTTTTTAGGTGACCCTGCCCCTGGTGTAGTATGGTACAGAGGGAACCAAATCTACGATAAAACATTTATTGGAAACGAACTCGGAGTTGTGCAGAATACGCTTTCCATCCAGAGGTATATTTTATTGTTAAGAAAACAAAAATTGTTAGTAATATCGTATTTTCAAAACATTTCTAAATTGTAAACATATTTTTAAAACATTTTCTTCTCTTAAATGTTCTAATTCTTTAAAAAATCGTCGTAATGTCGAAATGATTTCGGCTATTCGATATTAGTATAAAAATGTTCGTGTTTTTCTAACAGTGTTGAATACTGATAATTCGATACATGATTGAAGACAGCCAAACAAGCCAAATGTATAAAGATATATTTAGGGTTATTTTTAGTAATAGTTAAAAACATAAATTAAATGCTTTTATCTCTGCAGTCTGCACCCTCTTCAAAACGAAAAAGTTTTTTTTTTTCAAAAACACATTTCAGTTTGGATTTATATCAGTCAGACAAATATTGATTTTAAAATAGATAAATTAAATTATGGTAGAAAATTCAGAAATTTCTTTAATTCAATATTTGTTTTTTTATCTTTTTAATCAAACAATTAATTAATTTTGAGTTGTTAGTCAAATCTAAAAAAAAAATATTTCAACACTCGTGGTGTTACATTTTGGCTGGCTTGTAAATAACATAAACCCATACACATACACCCTTATATGTATATATGCATACAAACATACATACACCAATATTCTGTGGCTCTGGACTCTACATAAATGTATTGTAGGTTAAGTAGAGAGGACATAGGTGTCACATACAGATGTCGAGCAAACAATAATAATATCACGGCTCCCCTGGAATCATCTATCAAGCTTGATATCATGTGTAAGCATAAAATTAATTTTAACAGCAAGTTTTTATACTGTGATAATTAAAAAGTTCTGGAATTAACAGACGACTTTTAGAATTAGGTTATAATTTTAAATACATAGAGTAATAAAACGAAGAGGTGAAGGTTAGCTCAGAATTACACAACCGACCTCCCTATTAATTTATTAAAAGAGCGGTCGGTTGTATACATCACGATATGTTTACGTATCTAACACTGTACACTTGTATATAGAGTGATCGTATTTCTAAGGGGTGGTTTTATGTAGATATTAGAATATAAGTATTTATAATTAGATAAACAATTAATATGGATTTAAATAAAGAAAGAAAATCTAAAAATTGGTCAATTTCATAAAATCCCCCTTAGAAATACTATCACTTTATAAACAAGTGCACAGTGTTAGATACGTAAACATATCGTGATGTATACAACCTCCCTATTAATTAATGAATAGGGAGGTTGGTTGTATACATCTGAGCTAAGCTTCACCTCTTCGTTTTATTACTCTATGTTTAAATAGTTCAATGAACATAAGCCACAGCAACTGTGCAATGTCAACAGACCGATTTAACATAACATGTGATATTATAAGTTACTAGTAAACTTTATGCACGGTAACAACATCAAATATTAACATTCGCAAAAGTTTTGTCTTCTTTTTCCATAGTTTTTTGGCTCTTCATGTATCAACATTTTTTCCCCTAAATATCACGGTTTTTAACGGACATAATAATATAATATTAATTTTCTCAAAAACTATAACTGTGCCCAAGATAATGCAAGTATGCAAGAATTATGTCAAATATGCTTTCTTTTTAAAAATTCTTATAATCTGGAGGTTCAATTGTTGTTGTTTTTCGATTATTATATTGAAGAAAAGTTCCTTCCCGAAACTATTTAACCTATATAAGCTTAGGAAAACGAATGAATCAATATAGATTTTTGACTTTCTTTTAATTGATTTTGTTTTTTAATAACATGGTTTGAAGACACATTATTATCCATCCATTACCTCGTAATCTAACTGTATTATTTATCTATTACAACACTTTCAAATAAACCTAATTATTTGTCATAAAAATATCAATTAAAAACTATATGCAAATAGAAAAAGAGACATTTCTAATATAAAAGCCATTCGTTCACTGTAAAAAAAAATAAACTTTATTTGTAAGTAGGTTCTACCGAAATTAGAATGATTTGGTTTAAAATAAGTTCGAAATGTAGGGTTTGTAATAAGGACAAAATAATTGTATTTTCGAACTAAATTATTGTTTTTTGCGAACAAAATGTTTGTAATAAAAAAATGTTTTAAATTTTTTAAAGACTGTTGGTAATTTTGAAATGCTTTCAGGAGTTAAGCAAGACAAAGAACAAAAAAATTGAATTTTTTCTAAATCGTGTTAACCAACCCATAATTTAAGTAAAACATAAAAGCGCAATTTCTATGATGACCATTATTATTAATTATGATTACTAAGCATCTTGATGATTTAATTAAATATTCTAATTTAATGATCACGAAACTGAATTCTAATTACTGGCGCCTGGTATTCCAACAGCAACAGCTTTCTGCAGAACTAGAAATTATTAAATCTCTGGAAGATAATTGCAAGAATTACAAATAGCTTTTTTCTTCTTATATCTTCCTTTTCATTTTCCCCAAAACCTAATTCCCATTTTAAAATGCCGCCAGATTTTCTAAATCTTCTCCTTTTCCTACTGTTTATATTTTGCGTAACATCTCTTTATTAACAGCTATTTCCAAATTTTCCTGTCTGTCCTATTTCCCACCTAACAATCCCTCCCGAATGCAAATACTCAATTAGTGCATTCTTTCCCCAATAGGTTTTCAAATACTTACATCAGCATAAACTTCTCCAATGCACCTCCTTAAACCTAGTAAACCTCATTACACCTCTTTAAACCTCGCTAAACCTCGTTTGTTAAACCTATTTCAACCTCATTAAGCCATGGTCAACTCGTTTAACCTTGTTCAACCTCAATTAACCTTGTTAAACCTTCATTAATCTTGTTAAACCTCGTAAAACATTGTTTTATCTCGTTCAACCTTGTTAAATATTGTTTAACCTCGCTAAACCTCGTTCACCCTTGTTCAACCTCTTTAAACCTCGTTTAAGCTCATTAAATCTTTTTAAACCTCCATGAACCCCGTGAAACCTCGTAAAACCTTTTTAAACCTTGTAAAATCTAGTTAAACCTCCGTCAACCTCTTTCAACATCATTCCATCTTGTTTAACCTTTTTGAACATCATTCAACCTCATTGAACCATGTTAAACCTTGTTTAAACTCTGTCAACCTCGTTCAACCACTTTCAACCTCGTTCAACCATGGTAAATCTCATAGAACCTTTTTCAACCACATCAAACCTTATTCAACCTCATTAAACCTCATTCAACTTTGTTCAATCTCTTTCAACCTCGTCCAACCTCATTACCCCTCCTTAAATCTTCTTTAACCTTATAAAAAAAATTACGAATGGATTTGTCCCCTTGAATGAAAGTTGAAAGGGTTAAAGGATTAAAATAAAATTATTATGTCTAGTTTATAGAAACTGTAGAACAAAGAGGAACTTTTGCTATAAAAGGAAGACAAATATAGATAATTAGGGACAAAGCTTTCAACAGATAAAACTTTTAAATTAGAAAGAATTTTTAATCCAGATTGGCAGCAGTGTAGTGTGGTAGTAATAGAAGAATAGCATATAGTGCTGTAGCAATACAAGAATAGTGTAGTGTGGTATCAATACAAGAATAGTATAGTGCGTTAGCAACACAAGAATAATGTAGTGTTGTAGCAATACAAGAATAGTATTGTGTGCTAGCAATACAAGAAAAGTATAATGTGGTAGCAATAAATAAATAGTATAGTGTGGTAGCAATAAATAAATAGTATAGTGTGGTAGCAATACAAGAATAGTAGATTGTTGTAGCAATACAAGAATAGTGAAGTTTGGTAGCAATACAAGAATAATGTAATGTGTTAGCAATACAAGAATAGTATAGTGAGCTAGCAACACAAGAATAGTTTAGTGTTGAAGCAATACAAGAATAGTTTAGTGTTGAAGCAATACAAGAATATTTTAGTGTTGAAGCAATACAAGAATAGTGAAGTGTGGTAGCAATGCAAGAATAGTATAGTGTGATAGCAATACAAGCAAAGTATAATGTGTTAGCAATACAAGAATAGTGTAGTGTGATAGCAATACAAGAATAGTAAAGTGTGTAAGCAATCCAAGAATAGTTTAGTGTTGAAGCAATACAAGAATAGTGTAGTGTGGTAACAACACAAGAATAGTATAGTGAGATAGCCTTTTAAGAATAGTATAGTGTGTTAGCAATACATGAATAGTATAGTGTGGTAGCAATACAAGAATAGTATAGTGTGTTAGCAATACAAGAATAGTGTAGTGAGATTGCCATATAAGAATAGTAAAGTGGGGTAGCAATACAAGAATAGTATAGTATAGTAGAAATACCAGAATAGTGTAGTGAGATAGCTATATAAGAATAGCATAATGTTTTAGCAATACAAGATTAGTGTAGTGTGGTAGCAATACAAGAATGGTGTATTGTGGTAGCAATACAAGAAAAGTATAATGAGGTAGCAATGCAAGAATAGTATAGTGTGGTAGCAATACAAGAATAGTGTATTGTGGTAGCAATACAAGAAAAGTATAATGTGGTAGCAATAAATAAATAGTATAGTGTGGTAGCAATACAAGAATAGTAGATTGTTGTAGCAATGAAAGAATAGTGAAGTTTGGTAGCAATACAAGAATAGTGTAATGTGGTAGTGATACAAGTATAGTATAGTGTGGTAGCAATGCAAGAATAGTGTAGTGTGGTAGCAATACAAGAATATTATAGTGTGGTAGCAATACAAGAAAGTATAATGTGGTATGAATACGTGAATAGTATAGTGTGGTAGCAATACAAGAATAGTATAGTGTGGTAGCAATACAAGAATAGTGTAGTGTGGTAGCAGTACAAGAGTAGTATAGTGTGGTAGAAATACAAGAAAAGTGTAGTGTGGTAGTAATACAAAAAAGTGTAGTGTGGTCGATATAAGAATAGTATAGTGTGATTGCAGTATAGGAACAAATGCAGTTTGGTAGTAGCACAAAATAAGAAAGTAGTACAAGAAAATTTTATGTGGTAAAAGCACTAGAAACGGATACGGTGGTAGCAATAAAAATATATAAATAAATTTATCCTTTGAGATTCGAAGAAAATCGAATAATAATGATATAGAAATTAGAACAAAGAAACTACGGGAGTAAAACAGGATAAAAGTGATATATGTTGGATTTAGAGGATCTATAAAAAGATATATTATATCCCTGATAAAGAAATAATGTGTATTATTATATAATAAATATCCATATTTTGACCAGGTTTATCCGTGTATACAACATAATACATCAATAAATGACTAAGGGTGTATCCAGGTTGTACTAGAGATGATTGAGAGAAGATTTTTAGATCTTAATCTTATTCAATCTTTAATCTTCTTTAATCTTAATATCATTCAATCTTTAATCTTCTTTCTATTCAGTTCTCTCCTATTGATTCATCAATACTTGTTCATATTAATAATNACATATTTAAACCAATGTTCCTGTTTTATAATTTCCCCCGTTTCCTGTTCACAATCGTGATCTTATGGAAAGTTATTTATTATCATAATTTATATTATTATCTTTGTAGTTTTTATCTATCTATCTATCTATCTATCTATTTATCTATTTATCTATCTATCTATTAATTTATCTATCTATTTATCTATCTATCTATCAATGCTAGGTATTTTCTCGAATCAATTTCCCAAGTGTGACTTCCCAAGTGACAACTTCCGAAGTGGCAACTTCCCAAATGTGCTGGTGCAATATCCCAAGAGGCAATTTCCGAAGGTTAGGTTAGGCCCTCTAAGGCACCGCAGGCTACAATGGGGCCGAGCGCTGCGGATAGGACCTGCTAGGAGGCCGAACGCCGCGGCTAAAACAGGCTTAGCCGAGTGCTGCGGTTAGAATATATCTATTTATCTATTTATCTATTTATCTATTTATCTATTTATCTATTTATCTATTTATCTATTTATCTATTTATCTATCTATCTATTTTTTCCTTCTATATATCTCAATAAAAGATTAAATATTTGGTCATAGCTATAAGATATGTATTTCATTTACTGAATACCGATGAAGACGGATGTTTATTAGTTTCTATACTTCTATATTTCATATCAGGGTTTATCATATTTATCAAGAAATTGCCTCAAGATGTACAGTGCGGCTTTGTACAATAAAAACACCTCCTTTTTCATCCCTTCAATAGTTTGAATTGTTTTATTGATTAACCTTTTTTTTCTTTAAACTTTGGACAAGTGAACTTTATAAAAATCTTCTCATTCAAGTCTAAAAAATGTCCAATATTTCTTGAACAAATTTGTGACCTTATTGTTCATCTCAAATAGATTATTAAGTACAATAGGTGGCAACAGAGAAATGAACCAATTATACACAACGTCACAAGTGTCAAATATAACAAGGAAACTAAATTTTCTCACGTTAGTTGACATGTTTTCCAAGATTAAAAAAGTGTAAAAACAGAAAATAAAGAACACATAAAGTTGCACATATTTTATTGTAAGATAAGCACTTTATCCTAAAACTTTCACTATATTATTAATAATTTAGTCGGACACGAATAACTGTTGACACTTGTTACGTCAGAATACAACTGTACTGATGTGTACATATTCTACGTTGCCATCTATTGTACTAGAATCTAATTGATTCATCTGGTTTTCAGTTTACGTACAAGTTGGAGAAAACCAAATTTATTTGGTTGAAACTTGTATATTAGAAATCTAAAACTTTTTATTATTCTCAATAGTTCTCACAAGTTTGTGTTCCTAATGTTTTATTATTCTCAATAGTTCTCACAAGTTTGTGTTCCTAATGTTTTATTATTCTCAATAGTTCTTACAAGTTTGTGTTCCTAATGTTTTCAACTTTCAACAATTTTTGCGCGAGTCCTTGCAACCTTTAGTCAACTTTGCATTTACACTACATGTATTCTTAAAAATAGTAAAAAGTCAAAATATTTCTCTCCGGTTAAAATAAATACGAATTCTTATCCAAAATATTTTTCCAGCAAAATTTGTTGGAGGTTACCACCCTTGTAATTGGATACCTATGTTTGTCTTTCAATTCAGCAATTCCATCCAATTCATTGGATGGATTTTTTAAAAATCCATTATCATTGATTTAAAAAGTAATCATAGCTTGGCGATGAGTATATCGTTGTGATTGGTTGATGACACTAAAAGATTACTAAAAACTGTGTTGACAGTGACACAAATAAAAAGTCAAAATTTTAATTTTTATATAATCCATGTCACAGGAACTAAAATCAGAATAAGACGCACCTTTTAATTACCCCAGTCTAAAAGTTACAGGATCCGTGTCGGTACAATATGTACTGTATATGCATTCAGTCCTACTGTCCAGTCAGGCAACCCAGTGCAGAGTCGACCCAGCGCGTTTTATGCAACAAATGTAGCCTAGCATTATCACAATCAGTCCATCCGTTCTGCTGTTCAAGCCGACCAACAATCTTTCTTGTTTAATTATTCCAGATCTAGATTTCAAGATAATTAAATTTAAAAATAAAATTATAAAATCTTAGCCTGAAACATAGATGTTGCTCTTTTTATACTGCCCTGCTTATAGCATTTAATAATTGAATGATTTGTGGTTTTTTAAATTTTTTTTCTTTTGCTAACTGTTGATTCGAATTTACTACTGTGTAATATTTTGCTGGAGCAAAAAGGATTTGGCATCTTAGATGAAATAGTTTCATTCTTACCTCATATTTTAATAGATTTATCAGATATTCTAAACTTGAAATTCAACAAGCTTAAAATGCAAGAATCCTAATCTTCAAAGAGAACTGCTTGTTCTAAATTTAGAACAGGAATTATAATAATATCCTTTAGAGAAGGAATATTCGAGAATTTGGAAATTATTTTGCAAAATTTAGGAATATTGCAAAATTTTGGAATATTGCAAAATGCGGACAAAAATTCATGATAAACTTTTCTGCGAGCGACGAAAATATATTGAAATAAAAATGAATTAAATTCAACCAACGAATATCAGAATTGCAAAATATAGCAAGAAAGCATAATAAGAAAATAAATATGTTAGGAATTTGGAATAGTAAAGGGTACTTAAGCTAGCTACGACTAGATTAACTTCTAATCCTTTTTCTCTATAAAAAAATACCATCTCCGGAAACTAAATAAACTTCTTCTAATTTTTTCATGTTTAGTTCCTCCCCTTGGAGCCAGAATTATTTCGGAGGACAGGCCTTTACTATCAGGTAATAATGCTTAATTCATTGAAAGATTAGTTGGGTTATAGATTCGCGGATTGAATGATTGATTGATTGATTGTTTGGTTGATTGAATGATTGATTGATTGAGAGAATGAAATTGATTGATTAATTTCTTGTTTAGTTAGTTGATTAATTGGGTAAACGGTTAGCTGATTGAATGATTGATTGATTGATAATTGATTAATTGATGATTGGTGATTGGTTGGTTGGTTGATTTATTGATTGGTTGATTGGTGGAATGAAATTGGTTGATTAATTTAATGTTTGGTTAGTTGATTGATTGGCTGATTGGTTAGTTTGGCTGGTTGATCGATTGATTGATGATTGGTTGAATGGTTAGTTGATTGATTTACTCATTAGTAGGTCGATTATTTGGTTGATTGGTTAATATGGTGATTAGTTAGTTGACTGATTGTTTGATTTGTTAATATGGTGATTAGTTAGTTGACTGGTTAGGTTGATTGGTCAATATGTTGATTAGTTAGTTGACTGGCTTGTATGATTGGTTAATATGGTGATTAGTTAGTTGACTGGTTTGTATGATTGGTTAATATGGTGATTAGTTAGTTGACTGGTTTGTATGATTGGTTAATATGTTGATTAGTTAGTTGACTGGTTAGTTTGATTGGTTAATATGGTGATTAGTCAGTTGACTGGTTTGTATGATTGGTTAATATGTTGATTAGTTAGTTGACTGGTTGTCATTATCTAAATTGTTAATGTGAGGTTTTCTTTATCTTAATACAATGGTCGACGTTTATATCAATACAATGAAAACGACTTTTCTATTAAAGTTTTGATTACTGACAAGCTTTTTTTCAAATTTCAAATTTACAAATTAATTGATAACTTCTCTTTGTTTCCAACTTAATAGGCATCAATGCTGTTTAAAAACTAGGTAGAACTCAGAATAAAATCCAAAGTCGTCTTCAATGTATTGATATTTAGGACAACAAGTGTATTAAAAAAATAAATGGCAGCTCAGATTTTATCTTTCTACTATTTACGACCCTTTCCTACTTTTCTTGTTTCTGTTTAACAAAAATAAAAACAAGAATAGCATTTTAGCAATTATGTTTTGCGAACTTAAATATATCTGGCCTTTTGTTGAAGGATGCCTTTTTCAAGCATGTTTTCAATTAAAAAAATGACCTAATGCATTTTGAAAAATTAAGGAAAAGAGTACAGTTTGGCCTGTATATCCTGGGGTTCTCTGCCTTCAAGCCATATTGCCTGGTTTAGAAAACACAAGAATCACCAGGTTTAATATTTTTATTTCTCCCGGGTAATATTTCCCCCTGTAATATTTCTCCGTGTTTTTTTATTTACTAAAAACTAGGGTGCGGCCAAACGTAGTTATGTGCTCATGCCTTAATAAATTATAAGAAGAGAGATTAGAATATATTTTAGGGTTAGGTTAGGTTAAGACACTTTCTATGCCGTGCGCTACGGCTAGTTCAGGCTATGGAGTCGAACACCGCGGCTAGGACAGGCTAGGGGGCCGAGCGCCACGGGCATGGTTAGAACTGGCTCTCTCTTTTTCTTATAATTCATTGCGGCATGCGCGCGTAACTGCGTTTGGCGTCTGCCTTTAAATTATGAGAGCAACATTAAATACAGCTGATGAGTGGAAAGCAGTTTTGGCAAATTCTCACACAGTTTTAGCCAATTCTCACACAGTTTTAGCCGATTCTCACACAGTTTCAGCCAATTCTCAGTTCTCTCACAGTTTTAGCCAATTCTCACACAGTTTTAGCCAATTCTCACACAGTTTTAGCCAATTCTCACACAGTTTTAGCCAATTCTCACAAAGTTTTAGCCAATTCTCACACAGTTTTAGTCAATTCTCACACAGTTTTAGCCAATTCTCACACAGTTTTAGTCAATTCTTCCATAGTTTTGGCCAACTCGCACACGCTATTAGCCAAAATTCTCAATTCCCAAAAAATATGATTATTTTGTGGCAGACTTAAAATTTCATTCAGGTAGAAACCTTACCTATCAGTCAAGTTAGTTGCCACAAAAATATTATAATGTTTAAGGGAATGATACCAGTGACTACGGATAAAGTGTCTGTGAGTTCTGACGGAAATGTAACAACAAGTTGGATAAGGTATTTCCATAGATTAATAACAATACAGATAGAAAACAGTAAATGTATAGTCTTTTCAAGGTTTAGGGGTTTTCGTGCACAATAACCCACAGGCATGCCGCGTTAAATGACAAGACAGAGAGAGGGCATGCACGTCACTTCTTTGGGCCTCTGCCTCAGGGTTATTGTGAACGAAAATTTCCTAAATCTTTAAAAGACGACATCTAGTGTTCTATCTGTATTGTAGTTAATCTATGATATTTTCTATGTTTTATTTTGCTGGAAACAATAAACATATATCATTCCCTTCACTTCACCTAAAAGCTTTGAGTTGCAGAGAATTAAAACTTTTTAAGAACATTTTTTCTCCTGGATTCAGGAATTCACAATCTTAAAGAGAATTACTACGTTGTTTTAAGTGACCCATAATTTGTAAGAGTGGTTTGCCGGATTCACAACAGTACTCTGGAAACATGAATCTGGTCAATAATGCCTGGAGAAGAATTCGTTATTCTATTTTTTCACTGTTTCTGAAGCAAAAAATGCACAATTCACTTTTGCAGAATATCAACATAAGATTAAACAGTTTTCAAAAACAATATTGTTGATATCTAATTTATCCTTGATAAGACAAAGCTTACAAGGTTACCGTTGTGAAAGGGCGTCATTAATCTTTTTTAGGAAATTTGATTTAAGTTTTAAACCTTTTATTTTGTACATCGGAACTTAATCATGTTACACAAGTATTGTGATTGAGTTTTATAACTAGAGTGAAGTGCGTTATTTGGTTATGGTTAAGCTTAACTTTTCCGATTTTTAGGAAAAACATCTATTACTCACTATAGCTAAACACAAATTAGTTGAAAAAACATACATTCTATAGTTTGAAGATACTTGAGTAAGAAACCGAAGAAAAAAATGGAAATGATTTAGCATTGCTTAAGATACACAGGTTGCTTTAAAGCATATCAAATTGCTGTATTTGATCATATATTTCACTGAGGTTGGTTATAAATTGCCTTATTTGGTTATAGTGTTAAACTTTATTATTTTACACTCGTTTAAGCTAGTACTGTATTTATAACAACACTATTTTTCATGAGTCGATTTCTAACAAAAAACGTTTAAATTAAGTTTCAATATAAAAAACTCGAACAAAAGTAAAAAAAAAAATCTAAACCCGACAAGAATGAACTTTACAAAAAATTTAAATTATTTGATTTTAATATTTTTCAACCCAGGCACCAATAAAAGTTGAACAACTTTTCTCCCACATAAATCTTTCTGTCTCTTATTATATCAAGATGTTCAGCGTAGATAGGATCATCAAGATGCTCAGCGAAGGGAGGATCATCCAGCTGTTCAGCTAGGGGAGGATCATCAAGCTGCTCATGGTGTACAGTCCACTTGAAAAGAGTTCCTGGCATTAACTTTAGTTTGTTGGTAGCTTGTTCATTCCAAGGAAACAATCCAGTCCTTGCAAAAGATTTGCACATATATTGTCATCCCTGAGAACCTTTTCAGTGGCTTCCCATAGCTTGCTCACAACAGAATATTTGGGCAAACTATAGACCCGACATTTCTGGTTTGAAATTTTTGCATATTTGTGTTTTAATGTCCTGTAAATGTTACACTGAGTGAAGAAAAAAATTCCGTGACTAAAGAAATACAAACCTGATAATAATATTTTAATAAGAACTAATTTTGGGTATGCTAACATTTCTACTTGCAATGGTATAATGGTATATTGAAAGATAGAAAATAACCAAATACAGTAATTTTTTTAATATAACCAAATAACGCACTTTACTTATATCCTTTTATTTTCATTTTGTGTAGAGGATAGATAGAGTTGCATTGACATTTAAGTTTGATTTCATCTTTAATATTGCAGAGACATTTTTGGTCAAAAATACAAAAAAAAACCTTTAAATGGTTGACTTATGAAATGTTTTGAATAAGTTCAAATAAAATATTTTTACATGGATTAATGATTTTTCAATAAAAATAGAACTGTGGAATAATTGTCCAGGATACATGAAGTAAAACAGTTGATCAGTGCTAACCCTATAAAGTCTGGGAGTCTGAATCTATGTATAGCCTTTTTGGCGCTCCCCCCCCCCCCCTAGAAAAGGCCTTAGAGAATAGGTATAGGGTTGAAATGCATGTGCGTTGCCCAATTTGCCACGGCCAGCTCAATGAAAAAGAAATTAGACCGATAACTTTAATAGTTTGGGTGCTAGGAAGGGTTGAAAAAATCGCTTTAAAAAGGGTCGGAAAAATGAAAAAAAAATATATTTTTTTGTTTTAAACAAATATGAAAGTGTGACACATGTTTCTATATCCATTTTTCAAGGGCTTTTCAGAAATATAGTTTTATGTGTGTAGCTTTAGACACAAAACAGTTATGGGCTATTTTAGATTTTTTTTCCAAAGATCGGACTTTTTTCTGCGCTGTACCCAACCCTATGCATTAAAAAAAAAAATTTTACAAAAAATCCTTTGAATTACTATTCATTAAAAGTCACAAAATTTCACGGTGATAGTGTCAAAAATGAGAGTGCTAGGACAAAAAACTACATGGGGCGCCAAACACTCCCCCCCCCCCCCCAGCCTGTTTAGTGTTAACAGTTAAACGTAAGTAATAATTTGTTTAACAAGCTACTGAAAAACTTTTTGCTTTAAAGCAACGTCACTCCTAGTAAGATAACTTAAACGTCGTCTTCGTATTCCACCGTTTTCTGAATCCCACTGTATGCAGGTTGCTGGCTAAACCTGAGTACAACGGTCAGGTGCTCTATTGCCGCGGCTCCAATTATAAACTTGAAGCTGGAGTATTCGTGGAGGATAGTAGAACTATATCAGTCTTCTTTAAACCTAATGTAGAGATTCGGCTCGGCCGTGCTGTCAATCCAAGGTAAAAACTGTTTTTCAAAACTTCAACACTTAAAAACAAAATATTAAATTCTTCTGAAAATAGTTGCGTAAACAAGATTTTAAAATTCTTGGATAAAGAGAATCCAAAGAAATTAAGAATTAACACTTTAAATAGATTTTTTAATCAAAATATATCGAAAGAATTTATCATCTTGGCGATTTTTCAATAGGTTTTATATTATCATACCTTAATCTCAGTAATAATAAAAATAAAAAGCCATGAAATATGCTATAATTGTTTTAAAGAGCTCCATATTATTATTCAATTAAAAAAACTAAATATCTGCATCATTTTTTTATCAGTAGGTTCAGAAAACGACATGTAATAAATTCTTTCGATGTCTCCAAAGTTCTGAGTTTAACTGTATGTTTTTGAATGATTTAAGAGAAGATAATCAATATTTTGTAATTCCAGGGACCTTGGAGAAGGAGATGATCAATATTTTGTAATTCCAGGGACCTTGGAGAAGGAGATGATCAATATTTTGTAATTCTAGGGACCTTGGAGCAGGAGATAATCAATATTTTGTAATTCCAGGGACCTTGGAGCAGGAGACAATCAATATTTTGTAATTCCAGGGACCTTGGAGCAGGAGATAATCAATATTTTGTAATTCCAGGGACCTTGGAGCAGGAGATAATCAATATTTTGTAATTCCAGGGACCTTGGAGCAGGAGATAATCAATATTTTGTAATTCCAGGGACCTTGGAGAAGGAGATAATCAATATTTTGTGATTCCAGGGACCTAGAAGAAGGAGATGATCAATATTTTGTAATTCCAGGGACCTAGAAGAAGGAGATGATCAATATTTTGTAATTCCAGGGACCTAGAAGAAGGAGATAATCAATATTTTGTAATTCCAGGGACCTAGAAGAAGGAGATGATCAATATTTTGTGATTCCAAGGACCCTAAAGAAGGAGATTATCTATATTTTTAATTCCAGGGACCTTGAAGAAGGAGATGACCTGTATTTTGAATGTCATGTTGTGAGTAACCCACCCCCACACAGAGTTCTTTGGAGACATAATGTAAGTAATCACTTCTAATATTACATTACTAGTTGTTCTTCTTGTTCTTTGTAAATAATAAAACCATAGATTAATAATATTTTTAGTTAAATAATCTGTAATAAAACAAACAAACACTGAAACCGTCCGTAAACCTACCGCTGGCAGTTGGGCCATGTTTACTCAAGAACAAGTTTAAACCCAATTGGTTTGGCCGTTTCAACGATATTTTGTGAATCAGAGGAGATGGAAGGCGAGGGAACTAGCTTTTTCGAAAACAATAAGAAAGATTGTAATCAAGGCTTCGGTAATCCTGTTTTTTATTTCGTAAACATAACTCCAGTATTAGAGCTATTCTGATACATCAGATTAGAATGTAAAGTTCCATACACTCATGAAGCAATTTAATCGTGTTTTATATCAAAACTTTGTGTCTGGATTCATTTTGCGGAAGATATTGAATTTTCTGGGAGATGAATTGAATTTAAGTTTTCAGTATAGTTCGTAGTTCTAGTTCTAGTTTTAGTTCTAGTTCTAGTTCTAGTTCTAGTTCTAGTTCTAGTTCTAGTTCTAGTTCTAGTTCTAGTTCTAGTTCTAGTTCTAGTTCTAGTTCTAGTTTTTAACCTTAAAGTAACTATAAAGGGTAAATGAAAGGGGGTATAGTTTAAAACCTAAGAACTTCAGGATTTGATCAAGACCTGTTTCAAGATGTGTAAGATTTGGTATAAAGATCTATGCTAAAACAGATAATATTCAGCAAATACGCAACCAATCTAAAAACGACGATATCCCAGAGGAGCCTGAAAAACTTTGCTTTCTCCTTTTATTATTTAAATTTTATTATTTTTCATTTTTATTAGATATAACGTAGTAAATATATTATCAGTGATATCTATTAAAAATTATAAATTATCTAATTCAAATTTCAATAGGAGCAAACCTTAGTTTTCGGGCTCCTCTGGGATATCGTCGTTTTCAGAATGGTTGCGTATTTGCTGAATATGATCTGTTTTAAACTTAGATTATTAAACAAAATCTTTAATAAATAAGCTTTGGAATAATTTTGACACAGTTTTATATCAATTTCTCGAGACAAAAACATCAAATAATACACTTATAGGTCTTGATAAACTTCTGAAGCTCTTAGGTTTCAGCCTATACCCCTCTCAGTTTTCCTTTACAGTCTCATAAACTAGCCATTAACTTGTCATACAAGTTGCCACAAAAATGTTTAGCCCAATTCGTTCAACCGTTTTAACGTTTATTTCAAATACAAACAAACAAATAGACAACCAAGCCAATCTTTCTTCTATAAACCTTTATTTGATGTAGACATAATGGGACAAATTATATGAACTAATAATTAGTTATCAAATGAATTGTTGCGTTACAGTTAGTTAAACGTTAAATGTTAAACGTTAAACGTTAACCAACCGAATAAAAGAAACGTGCCCAGCCCTAGCTGTGTCACTATATTAAAAGATTAAACTTTTTGCTCAACTTCGGTAAAAATAATATCTTCTGGATATTTTCCTTGTCAGTCTGATACCTCACAAACTTAACAAAATATTAGGAGAGTAGAGTCAAACCATGGATAAACTATTACAGGATGGAGTGATGACGCTAACTACCCGCTTAGTAGCCTGGACAGGATTTACTAAAGAATTGAGTTTTTTACACATACTTGAATTTTTTAATGCAGATTTTTTTTATTTTCCAGAATTCATTGGTAGTTAGAAATATCTAAGATTGGGTTGCAAAGATAAAGGGAACAAATAACACAGTTTTATGGCAAGAACTCATTTCCTTCACAATGTCTGTTGCTGTTAATTTGGAGATAATCAATCAATGGAGATGGATATTTTGAGATCATATATGTTGTGCCCATTAATTCCATTAACCCTAAACCTGCCGGGGTACTTGAAAACCAGGATACGGTGGGGGGGGGGGACCCCAACTCACTTTGATGTCCAAATATGACGAATGGTACGTTATTGGATTATTGGATAGCTCTTATGCTATACTTTTAAAATCTGCAAATAAAATTGAAAATTTGAAAAATTTGAAAAAATTGAAAATTTGAAAAAATTGAAAATTTGAAAAAATTGACTTTTTTGCAGAAATCCAGTTGTAAAATAAAAAAATGTTTGCAGAAACAAACAGAAATTTCCAAAAAATTATAAAATATATATTTTTGAAAAGCCCTTGACGCATGCCATTTCAAATTTGCAAAACTGTTTGCAACATTTTAAATGACCTGACACGTATGTAATTAAGAAAAACTAAAAATGTATAAATTTCTTTTGCTGGTTGTATGCGAATAATTTGCAAAAATGTCTTTTCAAAACTTGTGCAATCCATTTCTTTATGTCATAGGCTTTCCAAAAAGCCAAACATTAACAAAATCTGACAACTGAAAGTGTGCCAAAACTAAGATTAAGTTTGTTACAGTAAAAAGTAGTCATTCAGGCAGTGTACATGAGGGTTCAGGCAGTTAGTAAAAAAGCCTTGTTTTAGACCTAAAGAGAGCGCTATATGGTTATTTGGGAAAAGCCAGAAAATTTCAACAGTCTCAGGCTAATACTTTTTGAGTTATGTAAAAAAAACTACAGGGGAGTCAACTTGACCTCTCCCCCCCCCCCAGAAGGAATAGGGTTAACAACTCTCCACAGTGGGTTCAGTGGTTCCAGTGGAAATTATTTAGAAAACCTTCCCAGATTAAAGTGAGAGGTTTCGTGAATCCATAATGTTTTCCTTCAGGTTTCTTGATACATTTTCCCCAAAAAGAAACCGTACTAAATCCCTAGTGAAAGCTCTAATTCCCAGGAAAATGTCACTGATAATTATTGCAAAAAAATAGGAAACGTAAGAAATACCTTTTAAAAGGTTCTTTCATGGATTCAAGAAAATAAGAGAGAAACATGACGAGGAGGTAAAACTAGCTCCAGACATCTAAAAACAGCTTTTAAAACTCTTGCTTTCTCTCTTTCTCTCTTTATGACTCTAAGTAAATAGTAGAATAGAGTGAGATACACAATTCAAACACGTGGCTAGAACTTTACTTCATTAATCATGAAAATACAAATATTTTCCATTTTCCTTTATTAATATTTGTACATGAACGTTGCGGATTATAGCTTGTTCAGACCACCAAGGTTCTAATGCAAGGAAAGTTATTTCAGAGGTGTACGCATTTTTTGTACTGCAGTGTACTGTCTTTGGGTGGGAAAGTAAACACAAGACGGAGGTCACAGCCTGACATGGAATCCATTTTCACATAAAAAATCAATGAAATATTCTGGTCATAAGAAACTATTGTATGAATTTTCAAAATTAACAAAATTAAATGCTTTTATCCTCCTCGGATACTAGACGAAAACTGATGCAACTATTCTTGTTTACAAATTCCGCCCAGAGAGAACTGGTTTCAATATGAACGCAGAGTATACGCGACCGCTATTAACTTTCCATGCATTAGTACCTTGGTTCATACCGACTCACTTGTAAGACGCGTCATCAATCTATACTGTGTATAGTGTGTAGTAATCATCCATGATTCAAATATATATTTCAACTGAAGAAAAAGAGAACAAATTGGAAGAATTAAAGAATACATTATTTTGCAGACAGAGTTACAATACACAATTCCGTTTTTGATTCAAGACGAAACAATGTTTGTAATTGTTTTGATTATATTGGAAGCAAAAAACTCTCCAAAAATAGCGATTTTCAATTCACTGGAAAAAAATTAAATGAGACGTCGTTCAAATTTATTTTTGAAAAACACCTAAAATTACCAATCCATCTTTGTATAAAGAATTATTTACAAAAATAAAAGTTATCTCAAAAAAAATTTGTAACCAGTAATTTTGGTGAACAAGAAAAGATGTGTCAAATTGAAATGTCCTTGCCAATCCATATATTAGTGTAGACAATAATTTTAGGAATTTTTAAGATTATTTGTAAAAGAGTTTATGTTTTATAACTTCCAAAAGAGTACATTCATACTGCAGCTTTGTATTGTACCTTAAGATGCCACTCAACTTACGTTGCAAAAAAAGAAGATTTCATCACTTTTTTCACACTTTAAAAATATGTTTTTGCATTTTACCACACAAAAGGTTAAATTGGACTTTCAGAAAAAAACTGATATTAATTATAAACGAATAAATATTTGTATCCTTGACTTTAGGTTTAATTTAAACTATATATATTTGCAAAGTACTCCATGCTAATCTAATTTTCGGGTTCAGTTAATCTTCATTTTCTACTTTAATATAAACCTAAATACTGAGTATAGAGGGTGTCACTGATATACTACTATATACTAACTACATATACAGGGTGTGTGTATCTAATAAACTAGCTGTAAACTGGGTATACAGGGTATGTGTATCTAATAAACTAGCTGTATACTGGGTATACAGGGTGTGTATATCTAATAAACTAGCTGCATACTGGGTACACATACAGGGTGTGTATATCTAATAAACTAGCTGTATACTGGTATACAGGGTGTGAGTATCTAATAAACTAGCTGTATACTGGGTATACAGGGTGTGTGTATCTAATAAAATAGCTGTATACTGGGTATACAGGGTGTGTGTATCTAATAAACTAGCTGTATACTGGGTATACAGGGTGTGTGTATCTAATAAACTAGCTGTATACTGGTATACAGGGTGTGCGTATCTGTTAAACTAGCTGTATACTGGGTATACAGGGTGTGTGTATCTAATAAACTAGCTGTATACTGGGTATACAGGGTGTGTGTATCTAATAAACTAGCTGTATACTGGGTTTACAGGGTGTGTGTATCTAATAAACTAGCTGTATACTGGGTACATATACAGGGTGTGTGTAAACGTAATTTTAAGTAACGTACCCTCCATGTGAAGATTTGCATGCCTGATTCACAACGATATCATGTAAACCTTTGTATGATCCAGAATAAACGATCGATGATATTTTTATTTTTCCAGATGAAAATTGATTATTTTGAAACGTAATTTCTTGAAAAATTTCTTGCGAATATTGTGAAGGCAAATCATTTGAAACGACGAGAGAGGTTTATTTTTCAACTGGAGGTTTACTTGAATATTTGTCTACAGTCTCTTTTAGGAGAAATAGTTTAAATTTATTTAATTTTTATTATTACGATTATTATTATTATTATTATTATTATTATTATTATTATTATTATTATTATTATTATTATTATTATCATTATTATTATTATTATCATTACTATCATAACGGCACCTACTGTCTTTTTCTTTTAATAAGTTTCCAATTCAGTCGTTAAACTATCTCTCCCTGTTCATAAATTCCTACCTCTGTTACATAGCATTCTAATCCGTACTTAGTTCAACTACCCCTCCCATTTCATAAATTCACTACTCACCTAGTTTAATTAATTTGAGCCGCGCCTTAAATCCGGTAAAAACTTGTTTCAATTGAGCTCCGGCTTATATCTTGAAACATTGAATACAATTTTTAGTATAACCAACCATATTTAAGCCTCGACTCAAATTTAAGCCGCGGCTAAAATTAATTAAACTAGAATTAAAATTTTTTAATTCGGCCTCTGATTAATAATTTCCCACCACTGTATCTATATACTGTAGGAAACTACAGCTGTGAGGCCGTGAACGTTGAAGGATCAGGAACGTCAACCTATCTTAATATTGCAATCATGTGTAAGTATTCAATATAATACCAAAAAAAACAGACAAAAGAAAATTTTGTGAAATCTTTTAAAAGTCAAAAAATGGGATAAAAAACTTGACTTGCTATTTAACTCTGTATGACTCCAAATTTATATTATCATTATATTTATCAAGCGAATTCTGGGATTTCCAAAATGATGTCTGTCTATTTTGTAACTTAAAAATCTACAGAGATATTAGGAATTTTATCACATTTTTATTTTAGTCAATTATAGCTTAAATCTGAACATTTATAAAGTTAGTTGTCTGTTCCTTTTTTTGTTGATTTTTATAGTTTTTTGAAAATGTTTTTAAAAAATATAAAATGATCGAGATGTTATGAGATATAAAATATTTAGATAAACCTTCATGCTCCACCAATCAGAAGAAAATATACGGAGTTTCAGAGAGAGAAACAGCTCATATATCATGCAAGGTAAATAATATATCATTCAAGGTAAATAATATACCATGCAAGGTAAATAATATATCATTCAAGGTAAATAATATACCATGCAAGGTAAATAATATATCATGCAAGGTAAATAATATATATCATGCAAGGTAAATAATATACCATGCAAGGTAAATAATATATCATGCAAGGTAAATAATATATATCATGCAAGGTAAATAATATACCATGCAAGGTAAATAATATATCATGCAAGGTAAATAATATATCATGCAAGGTAAATAATATATATCATGCAAGGTAAATAATATACCATGCAAGGTAAATAATATATCATGCAAGGTAAATAATATATATCATGCAAGGTAAATAATATACCATGCAAGGTAAATAGTATATATCATGCAAGGTAAATAATATATACCATGCAAGGTAAATAATATATATCATGTAAGGTAAATAATATACCATGCAAGGTAAATAATATATCATAAAAGGTACATAATATATTATACAAGGTAAATAATATATGATATAAGGTAAATATAATATATCATACTAGGTAAATAATATATCATACAACGTAAATAATATATGATAAAAGTAAATATAGATACATCATGAAGGGTACAACGCTTCATATATCAATTGTAAGATATATATTTTCTGATAATTAATAATTATTATCTGAAAGGACCAATATAAAATCTTTTCAATCACACAACAATTTATAAAAGAGCATCCATGGGAAACCAGCAGGGGGGGATGATAGTTAACTACCTGGGCTGCTATCTAGCCTGAGTGTACACTATGGAGTAATTAAGGACAGTTTACCAAAGAGAATAGAATATATTAGAGGGGAATTTACTAGAAAGAAGTGTAAAACGGCCATTTTTTTGTACTGTTTTTCCATACTGCAGGTGTACTTCACATATTTATTCTACATAACCTTTTAGGCCCTGGAATATCATTTTATAGAAAATCTCAAATTAATATGAACCAAATTACGAAATAGGCTGGTTTCATAATTGACCAATGATCATTTCACATAGACTCCATGCCTTTTACTTTACAAACGATGATTTTCTGTTATAACTATAAATCAAATGATGTTTTTTGTTCACATAATTCATTATAAAGTTTATTTAACAGCTTTAAAAAATTCGAAATTGAAATGAATAGTCTAGGAAACATACTTTATTAATGTACTCTACTGAATATAATTTGTGAACATTTATATGATTTGTACACTTTGAACTCCCTTTCAGGCTGAAAGGGACTGAAAACATTCATACCGAGGGATTCTCTAAAATCCCCTCTAATATATATTCTATTCTCTTTGCAGTTTACTGAAAAAGGACATTAAGAGAGTATTGCCTAATCATACAGTACACACAAAAAAATGCAGTACGCTTGCGGGGTACGAGTGTATGGGGAGGTTTTGCATCTTAAATTTTTTTTCAGTTTTTTCAGAACCGTTTATTTATCATGAAATATTGCTCTGTAAAAGACTGCAATAGTACGTCTTCCTGTGAAAGTGTAATCCTGCAGGTGATAAAAGAGCAGTGGATTGCAATAGTCAAAATGAAAACAAATTCTCCTAGCCGGATATGCAGTCGGCATTTTGAAAAACAATGCTATAGTAGTCAATATTAGTTTTAATTATTAATATTCAAGTTTTCCTTTAAAAGTGTAATTGAAGCTCGAAAAGTGCTGAATTCTTATAATTTCCTCCATTGTTTCATTTCATTTAATCACGATTAAAATATTCTACTTTCAAAGAGAAAATTATCTCGTGCCTTCGTAATCAAACAGAGCTTTACGGGTACCAAGTGAACCATACATCCCTCTCTATTTAACGGAAAAGTTAAAATGATGTCTCTACAGTTTTAGTATTTTTTTTTATTGAAAACCCTATTCTGCTTAAATGAAAATGAATATTTTCAGAAATCACCCCCGAATACTGTAATATACAGATTGGCCTTTGAAAGTGGAGAACATGGCCTGTACAATTAGTAAAGGATTAGCGTACATCATCACTCTATATACTATAACCTCGTTGGAAACCAGCTTTGTCTGGAAACAAAAATTGCTCTTTAAAAGTTAAAGCACTCACAAAGAATTCCTAAATTAAGCGCTAGAAAGAACATTCCCGAAGGTCTGTCAAGTTGTCCAATCAAAGGTGTATGTAAAGCGGTCAATTGGGGTTTATGAGTTATGATCACACATACAAAAAAGTCAGAATTCAAATAAATTGCATAGTACACCTAAGCTATGGGACGAGATTGGGGTCACTAAATTATTATAGATGCAGTAGAGAATATTAACAAATGAAAACATCATTGATTATTGATTTATATTAAATTATTATTGATGTTAAGAATATTTACCAATGAAAACATCATTGATTATTGATTTATATTAAATTATTATTGATGTTGAGAATATTTACAAATGAAAACATCATTGATTATTGATTTATATTAAATTATTATTGATGTTAAGAATATTTACAAATGAAAGCATCATTGATTATTAATTTATATTAAATTATTATTGATGTTAAGAATATTTACAAATAAAAACATCATTGATTATTGATTTATAGAGAAAAAAACATTTCTCGAAAGAGAATTAAATGGTGTATGAATTTTATATGAATTCTAGCCGGTCTCTCCCTTTACGATCAAATCAAAAGTGTCACTTTAAATATTTCATGTTATATTTGTAGGTTGACTCCTACCCCCTAGCTGACACCTTCTACTGGACCCTTAACACATCATTAGGAGATAAGGATATTCAGGTAAATAAAGGGACTCGTCGACTATTTAGAAATGCATTTAAAGGGACTAAAAACGTAAATTCAAGTAACCCCCTCATTGACAAAGTGTCAAATTCGAAGTAAAACGTTTTAGTTGATAAAGTAAGGATATGAAAACCATATTTTTCGTTCTGAAAACTTATATTTGCATATAGGGTTTCTCTACTATAGTGGCTTGCTTAGTTCTTGCTTTAGAAACATCGGAGGAGCAATGTTCAGAATTAAACAATTTTAAGTAAAAAAGACGTCAGCTAGGCTTCTACATAATTGACCAGATTCAAGTTTCAAGGGAATATATCTTAAACTGGATGCTCACTTATATTACAAAAGCAGTCTCTTTACCAACATAATTTTGGGAAATAACGCTTCCCATTGAACTATAATGATTCCATACCTTTCGTTAAGGAAACTGAACCCTTGCAAGTTTGCAACACAACCCTATTCCTATCATTGAAAGCATACAAAAAATTGATATAGCAATATAAATGTCATTCTGGGTGCTTTGGTGGATGCCTTAATTTCAAATGATGGACTTGTAGTGTATACACTATACAGATTTTACTGTTAGATCAAAGTATAGAAGAATGTGACAACAAGAGTTTGTGCTCATAAATGTATCATATCAGGGGAAACAAATGAAGATATGAGCACGTTTTAGCAATCAATCAAGGACGTAAATAATGATTCTGTAGGGGGGTAAAAGTTTCCAAAGTTTCTAATTTTTTTTTTAGCCCCACCCCCCTCCCCTCCTAAAATTTTTTCTACCCCCTCCCCCCCTAGAAAAATATCATGATGCATATCAAATTATTGGTTTTAGTTGGGTTTGATTTGCATTTTCCACTCATTTCTGGCATTTACAAACTCTATCAAATAAAGGCAATTCATTTCCTATCTTTCTGCTTCCTCCTTGTTTATCCTTTATTATAGTCATTCATTTTACATTAACTACAAAGATCTGTAAAAAAAACGCTGAATTTATCTTAAGTAACATAAAAAATAGTTTTATTCTAAGAGGAAAAAGATATTACTTTTTTAAATCTTTAGAAAAGCTACTCTGCAAAACTTTGAAAAAATATTGTCGTTGTTTATATTCTTATTTCTAATTTCTAAAATTTTCTTGTCTTCAATGTAGTATGTTAAGATCTTAAATAAATCTAATATGGAAAGGACGCTATTTAGAAGTAAAAATGTATTCTTAATTGCCCATACCCTTTTTTTCTATTTAAAAAAAAACATCTTATTGTACTGACATTGACTATTAACTTAGAATTTAGAATCATTTAGAATATGTTAACTTAAAATCTGAAATATCTGAAGTATCTGCACATTTAAACTATTTTCGTGCGAGTTTTAAAGATGTTCAATTTTAAAATCAACCTTTTTTAAAAAATAAATTCTAGGGGGGTCCCCCAGGATTCTAGGGGGGGGGGGTAATTAACCCCAATAACCCCCCCCCCCTATTTACGCCACTGCAAACAATTATGGAAAAAAATATAAATGAAATCGCTTATATTATTTAATGCATTATTTAATGTTAAATGTAACAAGACTGATATAATTGTTTAGGACTCTGATGGAGATATTTCCAATCTGGCTGGTTCCAGTCTTCTCTCATACAAACCTACTGCAAAGGTCGTTAGCGGATCTTTTCCGACTTTTTCATATTCAAAATTATTCAAGATTGTCTAGTTTACTATTCAAAAATAATCAAAGATCCTCCTACTTTTCCTATTCAAAAACAATCAATGATCCTCCTACTTTTCCTATTCAAAAACAATCAATGATCCTCCTACTTTTCCTATTCAAAAACAATCAATGATCCTCCTACTTTTTCTATTCAAAAATAATCAATGATCCTCCTACTTTTCCTATTCAAAAACAATCAAAGATCCTCCTACTTTTCCTATTCAAAAACAATCAATGATCCTCCTACTTTTTCTATTCAAAAATAATCAAAGATCCTCCTACTTTTCACATTCAAAAATAATCAATGATCCTCCTACTTTTCATATTCAAAAATAATCAAAGATCCTCCTACTTTTCCTATTGAAAAACAATCAATGATCCTCCTACTTTTTCTATTCAAAAATAATCAAAGATCCTCCTACTTTTCCTATTCAAAAATAATCAATGATCCTCCTACTTTTCCTATTCAAAGACAATCAATGATCCTCCTACTTTTTCTATTCAAAAATAATCAATGATCCTCCTACTTTTTCTATTCAAAAACAATCAATGATCCTCCTACTTTTTCTATTCAAAAATAATCAAAGATCCTCCTACTTTACCTATTGAAAAACAATCAATAATCCTCCTACTTTTTCTTTTTAAAAATAATCAAAGATCCTCCTACTTTTCCTATTCAAAAATAATCAATGATCCTCCTACTTTTCATAAAAATAATCAAAGATCCTCCTACTTTACCTATTGAAAAACAATCAATAATCCTCCTACTTTTCCTATTGAAAAACAATCAATGATCCTCCTACTTTTCCTATTCAAAAATAATCAAAGATCCTCCTACTTTTCCTATTCAAAAATAATCAATGATCCTCCTACTTTTCCTATTCAAAAATAATCAAAGATCCTCCTACTTTTTCTATTCAAAAATAATCAAAGATCCTCCTACTTTTCCTATTCAAAAATAATCAAAGATCCTCCTACTTTTCTTATTCAAAAATAATCAAAGATTCTTACGATAAAAAATCAAGTTATTAGTGGTAAAAAAAATTTAATAATGATAGAATAATTGAATAGTTAAATAATCAAATAATCAAATAATTAAATAATTAAATAATTAAATGATTAAAGTCTGCAATCTGCATGTAAAGGGATGAGGAAGATGGGTTTTAATTTGAAATTATATTAAATTAAAGTTTGATGCAAACTTGAACTAATTTCAATATTTGCTTGATACTAAACATCCAAGGGTTATTACCGCAAGATTTAAACATTTAAAGGATTAACAGAGAAAGGAATTGAAGGAATATTTTGTTTCACTTTTCATTCATCTTTGGTCATATTTGCCTAAAAATGTATTTTACTTAAAAAACTACCTACTTTATAAGTGCATGATCCGAGCCGGTATAACATCTAATGTACATGCATTCAGTACTATCCAGTCTGAACTACCAACCCATTTGTCTTGAATGATTGTGTCGTTCAGTATAAGAAAACGAACGATGGACGAATGACTTGGATCGTTCACAGAAATGAAAAAAGATCGCTTTTTAAAAACGAATAAAAAATTAAGAAAACAACCGATTTGAAATTATTTTAACCAACTTGAAAAAACCAATTTTTTTGAATAAACGAAGAATTTTTCCAAAAGGTTTGAAAAAACGAACGTTTTTAACTTAATCAGCGATTTTTCGAACAAACTTTTTAAAAAAAACTTTCGTTTTTATTTACTATACGAACTATTTTATTGAACGTAAGACATCAGTGAAATATCGTTCAGTGAGAAAACGATCGAAATAGATGAAAAATAAACGACAATTTTCAGAAAAAAAACGAAAACAAGTTGGTTTTAAATTTTTGAAAAAACGAACAAAATGTTTTGTTCATACAAAAAGCAGAACGCGTCCATCTGTAATTATGTCATCAAGAAGCGTTGATAAAATATAAGAATAAAAATGATTTATTTTAAAGATTGAGTTTGGAACAATTCTTTGCTACGGAAAGAATGTGGTCGGGAAGCAGTCTACTCCATGTGTGTTCCATGTTATCCCTGCAGGTAAAATCAGCAGATTCACCAAAGGAGGACTGGGCATGATTAGATATTTTTCAAGTCATTTCTTAACGGTTATTTAAAATTGTTCAAAAAAACTTTTCATGTAGCCCTTAGCTTTCTTCTACAGTATTTTCCGATCTTTCTCAAAGTTTTAGTTTGTTAACGATGTAGTTTTTAATGGCACTAAAGGAAGATACTTGAAAATTTTTTAACGATGCTAGTCATTGAAGAGTCGTTAACGATGATTGCACGTAAAAATAGCTTCAACATTTGGAGAGAACATTCAAAAACATTAAAACAGGAATAAAAACACAAAATACAAAATGCTTTGCATTGCAAATATTTAAAAAAAAAAAAAAATATATAATTTTTTCTTCATATATTTGTATTGTATGATTAGGACCCCCGGATAGGCCTGATGACTGCCAGATTACCAATCAATCCACAATGGGAATTCGGTAATTTAAATCTTTAATAATAAAAAACCTAAAAGTATGAAAATAGAGATCAGGGGAACCATACAACTGTGAAATGAGGGAACACTGTCGAACTCTAGTTATGATTTCAAATAGTCCATGTACAATGTACATAAAACCCAGCAATCAATAGATTCATTAATTGAAAATACGACATCTAGTGTCCTGTTATCGAGATAAATCTTGTATTGTTGATGAATTTTAGACCATATTTTGCCTTTTTATTTTTATTGAATTTTACAGTGTAACATGCCAACCCGGGTTTGATGGAGGTTTACCTCAACGATTTCACTTGGAAGTCATTGGAGCACTCAATCATAGGTAGGTACCACTTTTCTTAATCATAGGAAGGTACCTTGTATCTTAATCATAGGAAGGTACCTTGTATCTTAATCATAGGAAGGTATCTTGTATCTTAATCATAGGAAGGTACCTTGTATCTTAATCGTATATTTACATAAGGTTTAATTTTCAGAGTTTTGTTCAATGAAAGTCGAGATCTTCCTAATTTCTGGTTGTCAGGTTTAGAACCTGGAACTGCAATATATATCAGGTAATCTATTTATCGTATAACAAGCAATAAAGGGATTGTTTAGACAGCCACATACACCAATCCGAGCTAAATATGTTAGTTAATTAAATGGTTAAATTTTTTAGGAAAAGTTAAACATCCTTTTTATAGTAAAAACTCAGGTAGTCAAATCCCCCCTTTATTACCACAGTTTGGTAAGGGTTAATAAGGCTTTTTGTATTAGAGTAGGTGTTAATGATACATACTCACAAACTTGAAATAATTTTTTATGACAATTAAATTAAAGTTTGCACATTTAATATTCAGTCAGATAAATCATTTCAACAATTGTTTCAAATTTTGGAAATATTGGTTTAAAAGCCAGTTTCCTATTCATGCCTTTTTTATTCAAATTTTATTAAAAATATCCAACATGACCTTGCTTTAAATATCAAAATAAATTCAAATTTCTCGCTCCCCCGAGATTAAATGCATAGAGAGCGGATCACATTTCTTTAAATTAGATTTATTATTTAAATTCAGTTGTTTTGTATTTGCAGAGAAAACATGAAAATATTTAAATTCAGCTGTTTTGTGTGTTTAGAGAAAACATAATAATATTTAAATTCAGCTGTTTTGTGTGTTTAGAGAAAACATAATAATATTTAAATTCAGCTGTTTTGAGTGTGTAGAGAAACATAATAATATTTAAATTCAGCTGTTTTGTGTTTGCAGAGAAAACATAATAATATTTAAATTCAGCTGTTTTGTGTTTGCAGAAAAAACATAATATTTAAATTCAGCTGTTTTGTGTGTGTAGAGAAAACATGAAATTATTTAAATTCAGTTGTTTTGTGTGTGTAGAGAAAACATAATAATATTTAAATTCAGCTGTTTTGTGTGTTTAGAGAAAATATAATAATATTTAAATTCAGCTGTTTTGGTGTTTAGAGAAAACATAATAATATTTAAATTCAGCTGTTTTGTGTGTTTAGAGAAAACATAATAATATTTAAATTCAGCTGTTTTGTGTGTGTAGAGAAAACATGAAATTATTTAAATTCAGCTGTTTTGTGTGTGCAGAGAAGACATAATAATATTTAAATTCAGCTGTTTTGTGTGTTTACAGAAGCAAAATAATAATATGGAGTTTTCCATGTCATTTTGTTCTAGTTTTCATGAAATAGTTTAATTAAACATTTAATGTACTGCACACATTATTCAAGTAATCCTCTATCTTAAAATGTAACGTTTGGCATGTCTGATTAAACGGTACGGAACGGTTCACTGATAAAATCCATTTTTTGGTAAAATTGATCGTACAAGGATTTCGTCTTTTTTTCTTAAAAAGAGTCAAATTCTCACAATTGCTTTTAAACTTTTCTCGTCTGCATAAATATGCAATTAACTTTTACAAAAAAAGCACGGTTGAAATAATCAACTTTCAAATAAAAAACAAGGACTTTAGGTATCCTTTATATTCTTGCATATCCTTTACATTCTAGAATATCCTTTATATTCTAGGATATCCTTTATATTCTTGCATATCCTTTATATTCTAGGATATCCTTTATATTCTAGGATATTTTTTATATTCTATGATAACCTTTATAATTTTGCATATCCTTTATATTCTAGGATATCCTTTATATTCTACGATATCCTTTATACTCTATGATATCCCTTATATTCTAGGATATCCTCTATATTCTTGCATATCCTTTATATTCTAGGATATCCTTTATATTCTTGCATATCCTCTATTTTCTAGGATATCCTTTATATTCTTGCATATCCTTTATATTCTAGGATATCCTTTATATTCTAGGATATCCTTTATATTCTAAGATATCTTTTATAATTTGGCATATCCTTTATATTCTAGGATATCCTTTATATTCTAGGATATCCTTTATATTCTAGAATATCCTTTATATTCTAGGATATCCTTTATATTCTTGCATATCCTTTATATTCTAGGATATCCTTTATATTCTAGGATATCCTTTATATTCTATGATATCCCTTATTTTCTAGGATATCCTTTATATTCTGGACATCCTTTACATTCTAGAATATTCTTTATATTCTAGGATATCACTAATATTCTAGGATATCTCTTTTTTCTTGAATATCCTTTATATTTTAGGATATTCTTTATATTCAAGGATGTTCCATATATTCTAGGATTTCCGTTAAACTCTAGGATATCCATAATATTCTTGGATATTCCATATATTGCAGGATATCCAAATATTATAGGATATCCCTTATATTCTAGCATATCACAAATATTCCAGGATATCCCTTATATTCTAGGATATCGGCTGAGAATAGGAAAGGGCAAAGTCCTATGGTGATGATACAGGCTTTAACTAGTGTCCTGCTTGAGGTAAAGCAATAGTAAATACAAACTAAAAATTAACAATAGAGATCTAGATTTTATGGAGAAGGCTATAGAGTAGAGACCTCTATAGACTAAATAAAAGACTAGAAACTAAAGATTAAGGACTACAGACTAAAAATAAGAGTCCAGAGACTGGTGACTTGTAAAAAGATACAAGAGACTAGAGATAACATTTTATGGAAATTAGAGACTAGAGACCTATAGAGATTATAAAAAAAGAGACTAAAAACTAAAGATGAAAAACTAGAAACAAGAAACATGTGACTATAGCCTAGACTACTGACTACAGACTACAGACTACAGACTACAGACTACAGACTACAGGCTACAGACTCCAGACTAAAGACTACAGACTACAGACTACAGACTACAGACTACAGACTACAGACTACAGACTACAGACTACAGACTACAGACTACAGACTACAGACTACAGACTACAGGCTTTAGACTACAGACTACAGACTATAGACTACAGACTACTGACTAAGGACTACAGACTATAGACTACAATCTATAGAAAACAGACTACTGAATACTGACGGCTGACTTCTGACTTCTGACTTCTGACATTCTGACTTCTGACTTCTGACTTCTGACTTCTGACTTCTGACTTCTGACTTCTGACTTCTGACTTCTGACTTCTGACTTCTGACTTCTGACTTCTGACTTCTGACTTCTGACTTCTGACTTCTGACTTCTGACTTCTGACTTCTGACTTCTGACTTCTGACTTCTGACTTCTGACTTCTGACTTCTGACTTCTGACTTCTGACTTCTGACTTCTGACTTCTGACTTCTGACTTCTGACTTCTGACTTCTGACTTCTGACTTCTGACTTCTGACTTCTGACTTCTGACTTCTGACTTCTGACTTCTGACTTCTGACTTCTGACTTCTGACTTCTGACTTCTGACTTCTGACTTCTGACTTCTGACTTCTGACTTCTGACTTCTGACTTCTGACTTCTGACTTCTGACTTCTGACTTCTGACTTCTGACTTCTGACTTCTGACTTCTGACTTCTGACTTCTGACTTCTGACTTCTGACTTCTGACTTCTGACTTCTGACTTCTGACTTCTGACTTCTGACTTCTGACTTCTGACTTCTGACTTCTGACTTCTGACTTCTGACTTCTGACTTCTGACTTCTGACTTCTGACTTCTGACTTCTGACTTCTGACTTCTGACTTCTGACTTCTGACTTCTGACTACTGACTTCTGACTTCTGACTTCTGACTTCTGACTTCTGACTTCTGACTTCTGACTACTGACTACTGACTTCTGACTACTGACTTCTGACTTCTGACTTCTGACTACTGATTACTGACTATAACAAAATACCTACACAATTAAGGTTAATTCCCCTGTAATGAAAGAAGAGGGAGAAAAAGGGGATGAAAAAGTTCCGATTTTTATGGTTGTTGTTGCAGGTAATAGTAATTACTGGTTTCCAGTCCTTACATCTCATGTCATAAATTTAAAGCATCTTTTAATGTATTTTTTTCTAGGGGGGGGGGGTGGAGTTTGGGTGTTTTTTGAATTTCTGAACATTTACAGCTCACGAAACTCGGGACCGATTTTCCTCGAAATTTTAATGGGTTGCTTGGACCGGAAGGTCTTTAACCTGGTTTGAAAATTTGAATTTTTTAAAGGGAATTCTCCAGGCAAATCATGGGTTCCCAAGCTAAATTTTACTAATATCAATATATGTTATATGACATATTTGTGAACTAGAATATTTTCAGAATTAATGTTAAAATATCATGTATTACTCTGAAATTAGCATTTAAAAAAATTCCACTATATGTAAGAAGTTGAATATTACACTTCTAATTGATTGGATTGTTAACCCGTATAAAATAATACTAAACTATGCACTGTACAGTGTACATTACACAATTGTTCTGTTATAGTAAAGTGCAGTACAGTACATTACACGTATATTTATTTTATAATCCACTTAGTACAATAAATGCATAAATATCTACATGTACATGTATAATATTCCATTGGGTAAAGTACAGACTAAAAGTACATGTATTTTTCTTTATTAACTCTAGTTTCTGTCTAAATATTCAGATTTATGTAGTTTCCGGTTCAAAATATTCACCATTTTCTCAACTTTTTTATATTTCTTTGTTTTTGCCAAATCTTAATTTAACAAAAAGAAAAGTTGGAAAAGGTTTAATTTAATTTATTTTGGTTGAGGAGTTGTTGTGTTGAAAACTGGAAAAAGAAGATAATTATTTAATGGAGGGAGTACAGTCAAGGTTTCATTTTTATAGGACATGGTGTATTACAATGCAAATTCATAACAAAGACGATATCCAATTCGTCACTGAATTCCCTTGTTTTTTGGGACACCCTGTAGTATTTTTATGTGGATCTAAAATCTGAATAGTATTAATACAATATTAAATGGAGTTTTTGTACAAAATACTTAAAAGTACACAAATGGAAGGTAAGAAGAATTTAGTAAAAACGCTTCCCCGTGCCCAGGTTTTAATATACTCTTAAAATATGTTCAATATTTACAAAAGTACAAAAGTAGTATCATATTTGATGAAAAATAATTTAGGCATTTAAAATTTCTAATGAATTCTTGCCGGTGGGAGTTGTGAAGTATTAAGTGGTCTAAATTCTCATGGACAAATTTTAAATTCTCAGAAGTAAAAAATTTTGTGCTGCGAATCTCGCACGGGCAGCCGTAGTACATTGGAATATCCGAGCCGGGTCAACTTTTCCGGTCCCAGTTTGTACTGTATCGCCCGGACATTGGGTAAATGAAGCAGACACTCAATAGGACTAGCCGGTGCAACAAGGTTAACGCGGTCAGACTTTAGGTTGAATTTACTTTTACTAAAGGGTCAGGGGTGCGTGCTCAGGATCAAGCATTGATCACTTTCTAATCCAGTCCTACGAAATAATTGTTCTGTATCCTTTTGTGATCAACCCCTGCATATATTAGAATAATTGAGAGAGCAAGCATTTATTCTCAAAAATGTCCATATTGCATATCGAGATCAAGTGTTCAAGATTATAAATATTCCAAACAAAAGTTTCGACCTCAGCTAAATTTACATAATTCAATTCTTGGAATAACAAAGTTTTAATTTGTTAACAAAATAGATAAAAATAATTGAAGAATGAAAACTGTATTTTTACATGTTCAAGAAACAAACTATTTATGTAAAATAATAGAAATATTTTTTAAATAAAAAAAACACTTTTTTGACAAAACAGTGCCCGAATTTAATGAATTTGAGCCGCGTCTCAAATTCGCCGGCTTAAATCTTGAAACATTAAATACAATTTTAAGTTGAACCAACCATATTTATTTCTTTAAATTCGGCCTCAGCAAGTTCTGATTCCAAAAAATACTAATCCATGTTCTCCTTCACTGCTCTAGCTACATCAAAATATATATACCTATATTCCTATACCATAAATTGAAATTTCTTGCTTTGAAGTCTGTGTGCGGAGTTCTGGTTGAAAATATTGGAGAATTTCTGCTGAATACCAATAAATATTATAAACCCGCAAACCAACGACAACAAAGATAGGACAGAGAGACAAGAACTTTTAGATTGGATTGCGATCATCCTAATAGTATTGAAGGATTTAAGTTTAATCCGATGATTCAATCTCAAAATAAAGGAATGTCCAAAATTTTAAGTTGCATCCATCGCTAGTGTGTGGGGGGGGGGTCGGTGGTCTTGTGTAGAATTCTGAATTGTCTTTTAAAAATATTTATTTTGTCAATTTAATGAATTTTTTTAAATTTTCCTTTAGACGTTTAAGAATATTCCAGCTGTTCTCTGAAAAGATAAAGAATGATACTATAATGATGACATATATATATATTATATACAATTTCTGTCTGTTTGTTTGTCCATTTGTATCCAATAAATGTCAAAACGGCTGAACCGATCAGGCCAAAACTTGGTGTGGATTCTTACATGACCCTAGGAAAAGTTTATTGAAGATCAAAATTGGAAGAATAAAATTCCTGGAAAATAGATGGAATATTTTTTTTGAAAATGCGCCAAAATCCGAAAAAGTGGAAAATGATTTAAAATTTCCGACTTTTAGAGCAACAGTTATGAGCTAAAATTATTTCCATGAAACGGGGCGCGAAGCACCCTAAAGACCTAGTATTGTAATACTTTAGATTAAAATCAGTTAAGGTCAGTTTTCTGCAATGGTTCTGAAGTAAAACCAAAAGAAAATTCAGTTTACTATTTTCTGAATAAATGTTTATTATTAAATACATATTTAACTAAAAAGAGAAAATATGTAAATATTTTGAAACTCCATGATTAATCCTTTAAAACTAATCTCTTAAGAGGAACCACAAAGGTTTAAAAGTTTAATGGTATTAATGCATTTAATAATTCTGGCAACTTTCATATCTTTAATGAAAATTTATTTTTGAAACAAATGATTAACATACTGAAAAGTAATTGCAAAATTACTAATTGGGAACATAACCTACCTTATTTAGGGTTTCCAGTCGTAATTATGTTACACGTAATTACGTGTAATTACGAGTAACACTTTCTTTCACTTATGGAGGAGGAGCATTACGCAAAATTACGTGCTAATTAGGTATAAGAAGGAAAGTCTAGTTTCGCGTAATTAAGGCGTAATTACGCGAATTTACGTAATACGAAACCATTCCGTAATTAGTAATTCTCAGAAATGAATATAGTTCAAAAATATGTGTAAGGATATGCGCACTGCAACCATCTCCAATCTGATTGTATAATTTAAATACTTTCAAATTTAATTAAAATTCGGTGATGGACCAAATATCTGTAGAGAAAAAGCTGATCCCTATTTTACCCTTCATTTTTATTTCATTACACTTTAATTCTCCATTATATATATCTTTGAAACCTAATGTCCTAAACTTTAATATTTCAAAATATGTAATAATCTGCAAGATCAAATAGTCAAAGTATGGCATCAGGTTTACAACATCATATGAATATAGAAAAGTTTCATTTATTTCTTCATTTTTTCTACTAGATATTAATTTATGATTGTTTCATAAAACATTTTTTAATTCTTTTAGAAATCCACGAAATGTTTTTAAAGAAACCAAGAAGATGACTTTCATTATTTCTTTCTACTAGCCATCAATTTGTACAAGGCTTTCAATATTCTGCGAACTTTTTCTTTAGACAAACATTGAGAGATTTCTGAAATTCTAAAGAAAATTTCATTTTTTCCATAAACCTTGCCCGGGGTCACAAAGAAAGTTAGCCTGATTTACGTTTATTGGGTACGAACAAGTCAAATGTGTAAATATGTATTGCTATGATATAAAACCAATATATAACACAAAGTTTCAGACTTTAACCTTCCTCTTGTAGACTTGTGCTTGACAGCAGAGTCTATTGTGGAAATTTTCAATTTACTTTCCTTTGAAATGAGGATCCTCTCTAATATTAGATCTTTCATCAAACATTAACTAGTTCTAAACATTATAGGTTTACTATTTCAAAACATTAGAGGTTTACTAGTTCTAAACATTATAGGTTTACTAGTTCAAAACATTAGAAGTTTACTAGTTCAAAACATTATAGGCTTACTAGTTCAAACCATTAGAGGTTTACTAGTTCAAAACATTATAGGTTAACTAGTTTAAAACATTATAGGTTTACTAGTTCAAAAGAGTATAGGTTAACTAGTTCAAAACATTATAGGTTAAATAGTTCAAAACATTATAGGTTAACTAGTTTAAAACATTATAGGTTAACTAGTTCAAAACATTATATAGGTTTACTAGTTCAAAAAATTATGAGGTTTACTAGTTCAAAACATTATAGGTTAACTAGTTCAAAACATTATAGGTTAACTAGTTCCAAACATTATAGGTTTACTAGTTCAAAACATTATAGGTTAACTAGTTCAAAACATTAGAGGTTTACTAGTTCAAAACATTATAGGTTTACTAGTTCAAAACATTAGTGGTTTACTAGTTCAAAACATTAGAAGTTTACTAGTTCAAAGCATTATAGGTTAACTAGTTTAAAACATTATAGGTTTACTAGTTCAAAACATTATAGGTTAACTAGTTCAAAACATTATAGGTTAACTAGTTTAAAACATTATAGGTTTACTAGTTCAAAAAATTATGGGTTAACTAGTTCAAAACATTAGAGGTTTACTAGTTCAAAACATTATAGGTTTACTAGTTCAAAACATTATAGGTTTACTAGTTCAAAACATTATAGGTTAACTAGTTTAAAACATTATAGGTTAACTAGTTCAAAACATTATAGGTTTACTAGTTCAAAACATTGTTAACTAGTTCAAAACATTATAGGTTAACTAGTTTAAAACATTAGAATTGTTTACTAGTTCAAAAAAGTTTTCTAATTGAAACTTTTCAGAATAAAAAATCAAAATGTCAGAAACCTAGAAACTAGCTTGAGAATAAGTGCATTAAAATATAGCCAAGTTCAATCCTCATGGAATTAACTACAAGTGTCTTCTATTTAATCATACTCATCTTTACATTGATATTCTTGTATTACCTTTATGGTTTAGATTGTATTCTGACTACTGGAGTGCTGGGAATAGGGTTGGGATTTAGGGAATACTCTATTTATAATACCTCTTAGGTTTAGGTTGTATACTAACTACTGGAGTGCTGGGAATATGGTTTGTAATGCTCTATTTATAATACCTCTTTGGTTTAGGTTGTATACTAACTACTGGAGTGCTGGGAATATGGTTTGTAATGCTCTATTTTTATACATCTTTAGTTTAAGTTGTATTCTGACAGCTGGAGTTCTGGAATAGGGTTGGGAATACTCTATCTACATTACCTCTTTGGTTTAGGTTGTATATTGACTGCTGGAGTGCTGGGAATAGGGTTGGGAATACTTTATCTATAATACCTCTTTGGTTTAGGTTGTATATTGACTGCTGGAGTACTGGGAATAGGGTTGGGAAAACTCTATCTATAATACCTCTTTGGTTTAGGTTGTATATTGACTGCTGGAGTGCTGAGAATAGGGTTGGGAATACTCTATCTATGGTTTAGGTTGTATACTGACTGCTGGAGTCCTGGGAATAGGTTTGGGAATAACTCTTCATTGTCTGGCTCCTGTCAGATCAGTTCATGCTTTGGATTGTAGATCTAGCAAGGTATAATTCAGGGTGCGTCCCACCTTTCTTTCTATGGTTAACTTATACATGCTAAGGGACATTTTTCTGCATGCAAAGTAAATAAGTTTCGGCCCACAAACTGCATTTTTTTAATTCCTATATCATTGCAACCATATACTATTTGAAATACTATAGAATGTTAAAGTTTGAAATATCAAAGGTTTACACTGCATCAGATTTATGTGTATAAAGAAAAATGTTAATGCTGAAAAAAACATTGATATAAAGTTAAAAATACACTTTTTTCATTTGCATACTGTTTTGGGGATTACATTTGGACACTTTTAATTCTAAATTTGATTTATTCATCCATTAAATATTATATTTCCCCCGAATAAGTGTTAAAAACCATGTAAAGATATTTCAACATACTGAGAGACCAATTATACATCCTCAGCATAATGTTTAGGGCCTTGCTCAGATGGAGGAAGAGGAAGAACAAGAATCTCCAGATCTTATTCAGCATATATTTACAGAACAAAAACAAGATGGAAGTCAGGTCAGTTCAAGTCCCTTTCAAAAGAGTTGTAAAACATGAAAATCATCTTTAAAAACTTAAATTTTTAGGTTAGAGCAGACAGAGTTCCTGGAACCACAAGCATTCATAGTTCAGATTCATCAGGAAGGAATAAATCGAATTCATGTTTAGGATTATAATCTGAAAATTTTAATTGATCAAAAACTTTTAATTGATTTTTATTTGTGGTTTGTAGGATTCTCAGAAATGGCAGGAAGTTCTGATGGAACCAGACCACCTTTGTTTTCAGAAGCATCACGTCCTGCAACAGCAGAACACCAAATACAAAGCAGTAGAACCGGTTTTGCTGAGAGTAGTTTTCAAACTGGCCGCCAGGGGGAAAGTTTTTATCAAAACGGCCGCCAGGGGAAGAGTAGTTATCAAAACGACCGCCAGGGGGAGAACAGTTTTCGAACTGGACACCAGGTGGTTCAGAGCCCAGCGGACAGTTTAAATGGAATCAGCTACGGAACAAATTACGTCCACAACAATTTACAAGGCAAGATATTTCTTTAAAAACTTAATTTTTATTTTAGCAAAACAGAAGTTTATGAAAATCAAAAAAAATCTTCATGAATTGACTTGCATGTTTAGTTATTCCTTAAAAGATATATACATATATAAATCTGATTTATATTTAAAGTAAATGCAATAACTTGAAATATGTGAGAGCACATTCCTCAAACTTAAAGGGAGTGTTTGCGAAAAATAAAAAAGGATATAGGCCTACGTCGAAAAATATTCGATGGTGATTGCTACTAATCTTACTTCTATCTCTACATAAGCGTTTACCCCCTTTCATTTTCGCGAACACTCCCTTTAATCCAAAATATATTGAGCTTTGAACTTAAACATATAGAATCAAAAGCTAGAATATATAAATACAATATTGCATTTATTTATTCGAATGAGGAAACAGAAATATTAAAATCATATTACTTCTATAATTACTTTTCATTAAATTGCAATTCATTTAGAACTGATTAAACTAAAACTAAAACTTAAAAAGTTTTTCACAAAATCAGATTTGATTACCTTCTCTCGTTTTAATTTCAAGTTTTACAAATATTTCATAGTTAAAAATACTTGATTTTCTTTTAAAAAGACAATCAAAGGAATCAGAGCTGAAAATTTTAGAATGAGATATCCTTAATCCCAATTACTTAATCTGAGTATCCAATGGACACACTTTTGATTTTCTTCTTAAACCGTTTTTTCTTTGATATAGTAGAGAAAAATCAAATACCGTTTCTTTTAATTTAGAGAGTCCCTCCCGTTTCTGTACATAATCTTAAATGGCCCGCAAAATTTCAAATTTATCGGCTTCTTATATGCGACTCTAATTGGATGAATTTTCTTTTCAGGATACAAGTACAAGATTAGGTTAGTCTCGATATTAAAAAAAGAGAGGATCAAGCATTAATCTCGATATCCACCATTCTAAAGTTTTCAGCTCAGTTGTAAAACGGAAATATACGCTTTTAATGGAGTCATCTTACATTTAAGTTATAAAAGTTTAAAGTAAAAATTTTAAAATGTTCTAGTAAAATTTTTAATCTAATTTTATCAAAGCTGTATGTTCAGGTTCCAAAACGCTTGGTAGGACTAGATATGGTCCAGCTTTGCATGGATACTCAACATTTACAAGGTTTTTTCATAACATTCTGTAGTGATGTATTTTATGTTTAAAAAAGTATTGAAATCAAAGTATTGACATTTAATGCAAGTTCATATGCCAATTTTCTAAAACTTTTGAATTTTAAGATTATTTGTTTTTCTAGTTTTGAGATTATAAAGATAAAAAGGAGACCATCTTGAACAGTGCAACCATGTTTAATATGTAGGATGGGGACACAACTTTATTCGACAAAATTTAATATTAACAGAGAACTATACTTACCTACAAAGGACCATATTTAACAGAGGACCATATTTATCAGAGGACCATACTTATCTGCAGAGGACCATATTTAACAGAGGACCATACTTATCTGCAGAGGACCATATTTAACAGAGGATCATACTTACCTGCAAAGGACCACATTAAGCAATGGACCAAATTTATCAGAGAACCATATTTAACAAAGGATTATATTTAACAATGGACCATATTTAACAAAGAATTATATTTAACAATGGACCATATTTATCAGTGGATCATATTTAACAAAGGACCATAATCAATATTCGGAGCACCATATTTAATTGAGGACCATATTAAATGAAGGACAATTTTTAACAGAGGACCATATTAAATGTGTAGATTCATATTTGATAATGGAATTTAACGGAGGACCATATAAAAAGACCTACAGGGTTACCCACAAAGTAGAATACTTCAGAGACAACTGTACGGAATTTCTACTGTCTGTTTCCTCATATTCACGATTCTCTTCAACTGTAACTGTAACTTTGCCAAATCATTAAATAGATAATAAAAGACAATATTTAAGACTGAAGAGTTAATTTAACCATGGGATTGTCCTACTTTTTAAGTTTTAGGTCGTCTTTACAGTCTCATTCTTTGTGGATAACCCTGTATATTCAACAAAGCCCCATATTGAAAGGAGGACCCTTATTTGATGGAGGACCTATTTTGAATTTAGGACCCATATTGAATGTAGGACCCATATTGAATGGAGGAATTGAATGGAGGATTCATATTGAATGGAGGACCCATATTGAATGTAGGACCCTTATTTGATGGAGGACCTATTTTGAATTTAGGACCCATATTGAATGTAGGACCCATATTGAATGGAGGACCCATATTGAATGGAGGATTCATATTGAATGGAGGACTCATATTGAATGTAGGACCCATATTGAATGTAGGACCCATATTGAATGTAGGACCCATATTGAATGGATGACCCATATTGAATGTAGGACCCATATTGAATGTAGGACCCATATTGGATGGAGGACCCATATTGAATGGAGGACCCATATTGAATGGAGGACCCATATTGAATGGAGGACCCATATTAAATGGAGGACCGTTTTTAAAAGACCATATATCTAAATTTGACCATATCAAGTTTATTACTTTTTCTGTTTCTTAACTAAAACTCTTCTATAGGGGAAACTCTCGTCCCTCCTCGATCCTCCTGTCCGATCTCCAGGAGCTGGAGACTCTACGCGGTGAAGAACCAGACCTAGCCACGAGTCTACGCAGTCTACACAGTCTGTCAGTTGATAAACCAAACCACTACTCACCCAGCACCTTTCAACCCACTACACTCTCAACTTCAACCCTGAGGTGACCCAATAAAGGGATAACATTATTCTTTACTAAATGTTCTTCATAAAACTAGTTCAACCCACAATTTCATTCTCCTTATATTTTTCTATTGTGGTTCAAATTGCCACCAAAATAAATGGTTTCATTTTTATCTCTTTGTCTTTACTCAAGACATGAAATAGGAACTTGTGTACTGCAGTTTCCGGGAAGAATGTAAACAAAGCTTAAGCTGGGACAGCATTGAGTTTGTTTACATTCCACCCAGAAACTGCAGTACATTTTATAGTATGGAAGTTTCTGTTATCTTTCTTGCTTTTAATTCACAACATTTTTGTTTCTAGAAGAGGACAAGGACAACCCTTAAGAAGTGGCGGAGAGCAGAGGGCGGAGTATTTGTCAAGTTGGGGCGGAGTAGGTGGAGATCGGGGCGGAAATATAGACTGTAGAAGTGGGTGGGGCGGAGAACGGGTTCTCGGGGCGTCGGGAAATATTTCTCCCCTCATGGAAAGTGATCGGGAAAGCTGTGTATAAACTTTTTAAAACGCACACAACACAATATATTATTATCAAGATCCAGCTCCTTGCCTTGAAGAGTAAGGTCTCAAAATATATTAGAATTATTATCAAGATCCAGCTCCTTGCCTTGAAGAGTAAGATCTCAAAAACAAGTTTAAGTTTAAGGTTAGCTAATTATGTACAATTGTAACACGTCTTTGTCAAATATGTTTTTAGCATTCACAAAATCAATGAAGAAAAAATTACCCCTTGTAAAGACAACTAGAAAACAATTGAATAGGTAGACACGACATTTTCTCCTTAGCAAGCGCATTTTATGTTGTAACAAACCAAATAGTTTTCCTAGACATTTATCAATTTCTAATTTAGCTAAATGGGTCTGTTAACGTTGCACAATTACTGTGCCTCATGCTCATTGGGCTTTTTCAAGTTACAACTAGATTCTATAAAATTGTTTTCCTGTTTCAGAGTCCTTTGGTTAAAACTTTAAATAAAGGTATTATTAAGCAGTACGTGTTCAATGTTCATACATGAACAGATTCAGATTCCAGAAGAACTAAGGGTTATTAAGCAGTACTTGTTCATGCATGAACAGATTCAGATTGAAGAAGAACTAAGGGTTATTATGCAGTACTTGTTCATTCATGAACAGATTCAGATTGAAGAAGAACTAAGGGTTATTATGCAGTACTTGTTCATGCATGAACAGATTCAGATTGAAGAAGAACTAAGGGTTATTAAGCTTGTACTTGTTCATGCATGAACAGATTCAGATTGAAGAAGAACTATAAAGGGTGTACAAATTATTTTGGTTTTTTTTGCCTTGAAAGTAGAAAAAACGTATTAAGGGTTAAATTTGTTTGCTTTTTTCAAATAAAATTTGCAAAAATGTGAAAGTAAAAATATGACATTTTAGTTCTTGCTCTGAATGTTTATATAAAGCTTACTGACATTAATTTCCCTTTTTTCAGCTAAAAAGTGAAAGAAAAAAGTTCTAAGGGAATGTTCCCTTTCTTCCAAAATTTATATAATGCCTTAATTTTTCAATTTAACCTATATCAGTTGAAAGTTGTTTTTAATCAGAATATTGTAAACTTATCGTCTAGTATTAATACAGGTAAGTCAAATCTGCAGGTGCAAGCTGTTTATTTTGAATAGGTAAACACTCCCTCTTATACTACATTCATATAATCTTAAAAGTCATATCTTTTCACCACATCAAATCTATTTCAAAACAAATAATTCGTACAAAGATTGGAACACAAGCCTGAGCGCAAACATAGTGTTTTTAGTTTTTTAAAGAAAATTTAAAATTGAGACATTTCTCGATTGTCCAATTGTTAATAATGCACTTCACATTAATACTTTTTTATCTAGCGTCATAAATATCATAAAAATGACGTTTTAAACGAAAAATATATGTACAAATATATCATCCATGTTAATATTGTATTTTAAAAATATTAAAGATGTAATGAAACTGTAAATAAATCTACTTAATGTTTATAGTTTAACTGCTTGTACCTTGAATACTATATTTTATTGTAAACTGATTGAAATATGTAAATAAATGTTAAAGTAATTCTCCATTAGATTGCATAGATTTAGAATTTAACTCAATAGCGCACTAAGCAATTGCTTCAAAGGTAGAGCTGGGCAATGGTACGTTAACAAACGGAATTTTTTTTGAAAATTAACGGAATACTCTGTAACAAGTGGCAAACACAGTTAATTTTGAAAGTGTTATCGGACGGAAAAAGCCGTTCTTGAAAAAAACGGATCATATTATATAAACAACGGATGGACATGTTTCAAAATTAAGACGACTTTCGATAATTTTCAACTTGAGTGTTGGCGAAAAATGAAAGGGGGTATAGGCTGATATCCGTCGATATTTCAACTTTCACAGAAATCATATTTATAATTATCTAAGGTCTACAATGTTGGGTTGCAAACATATACAGTGTGAGTCAAAAAAAAGTGTGATTTGCAGCGCCTGGTGCAAAATTGTATCTTTTTTGTGCAACTCTCCTTTATGGTGTTTTTTTTTCAATATTTTTTTGCAACTCTCCTTTATGGTGTTTTTTCAATATTTTTTGAAAATTTGTTAATTTTTTTTTTGATACTCCAATGGCCCCAAAAAAATCCGTGAACCTTTTTATCTCTCAAAATCAAAAGTTCAGAAAAAAAGGTGTAAATTAATTATTTCTATTGAAATATAAAATTATTTAAAGATTACATCACAGAATCGCAGAAAATTTGCAAAATTGTAATCAGAAAATTCGCAATTTTCTGTTCTTGTCTAATTTTTGCGGAAAAAAGTTTTTCAATGGCTCTTAAGGTTTTAACTGAACAGCGTAAATTTAGTAATTTAAAATAAACTGGAGAATTTAAATAACTTTTCCTCAAAAATTAGACCAGAACTAAAAATTTCTTTATTACAATTTTGCGAATTTTCTGTGATTCTGTGATTCAATTTTTAAAAAATTTGAGAATCTGATAGAAATAATTTATGTTTACATTTTTGCTTTTCTATCTTTTGATTTTGAGAGAAAAAAAGGTTCGAGGATTTATTTTTGAGCAATTGGAGTACCAAAAAAAATTACAAATTTTCAAAAAATATTGAATAAACACCATACAGGAGAGTTGCACAAAAAAGTTACAATTTTGCACCAGGATCCGCAAATCACACTTTTTTTGACTCACCCTGTAGGTATTATAGAAAATCAGAGCTTGTGGCAAAGATTCAATTCCTTTGCATTTTTTACGATTGATCGTCAAACCAAAACTAGAGGAGATACAAGGTCATTAACAGGAATAACATTCGCAATATACGCAATATACGCAATATACACAATATTCGCAATATACGCAAAATAATGCAAAATAACGCAAAACTTTATCTGTAGCTAGCTAACTTATCTGATCAAACTCAATTTTAACCTTGTAGCATGCCACATCAAAAAACCGTATTGAAAGGATAAGCATCTATTTTCCATGGTATCTCTGCTGTTATAGATATCAGAAGAATAATACACATTTTGCGTATATTGTATTATTAAATGCATTTTTAACAAAATTTTGTCAAACTTTTTTAAAAATTCATTCGCTTCGATACACTAGTCACAAAGTCGTATACCAGTAATGTCGAAAAAAACGTTAACTTGACAGCTTGTGTCTAATTTGCAATGTGCTTAAGTTGAAAAATTATCAATAAACATTTACGTTTAAAGATATCAGATAACAGTAAAATTTAATTTTTTTATATAATAAAACATGAATAAGAGTTTGAAGACAAATCATTAAGGAAATTTTCAGTTGCGTCTTTACGGAAAAAATGAAAAATTCCATATAAAGGAATTGAGTCTTTGTTGCAAACTCTGATTTTTAAATCACAATATCTTTGCAACCCAATGTTGTAGTGCTTAGATTTTTCCAAACTATGAATTCCGTGAGATCAAATAATCTAAGTTCTAAATATAAAAGGTTTACACCATCAGGTTGCAGAGATGTAAGAATTATAAAATTTGAGTTTGTGGCAAAGACTCAATTCCTTTACTCAGTTGCGTTATTCCACAAAAACCGTAAATAAATCCATTAAAGAAATTGAGTCTTTGCCACAAACTCAAATTTTCTAATCCCAACATCTTTGCAGCGTGATGTTGTAAACCTTTTATAGTTCAAACTTAACCTATTTGATCTAACAGAATTTATAGTCTGACATATCTAAGGTCTACGACATTAGGTTGCAAAGATATAAGGATTAGAAAATCAGAGTTTGTGACAAGGACTCGATTCCTTTACAACTGATTTAGATATTACAATTTATACAGTCCAGACTGTCTTGGGATGATTAAAATCATAAAATTTGTTTATATTATATTTTCAGAGTATTACTTCTGATAGTATTTTTAATAGTTTCTTGGACAATATGAAAATGTCATCTTTGCTATTTGCAATCCTCGAAATTTGGTAATGAATATACTCAAATAAAGTTACGTTGGAGCATCATTAAATCCAGAATTTATGTATCTGTTTCTCAACCTGAGCAAACTCCTGATCATACCCGGAGCTAAATTCTAAACCCGGAAAAAACAGGAGTTAATTGTGAGAGATAGGGAGAAGAATATGTTAACTTGATATATCTAGTTTTCTTTTGAGGTTAATTTAAATTCTAATTAAATCTATGAACAGGTTGTTTCTAGTTTAATCAATGAATAAATTTATTAAGTTATATCGAGAAAATAATGTGAATTCTAGAGGTTAATACACGTAAATATTTGAATAGATAATCCAAAATCCGTATTCATAGATTTACACTGTTAATGAAACAATCAAATTTCAAATCTAGGACATTTCCATATTATAAATGACGGAATCTGGAATGATATCTGTTATGTGAGGGATATCGTCATTTTTCCAGCTTCCATGTTTATTCTTACAATTTTCTCCAATTGTTTCAGCAGCAGAATTGCGCATTGAACGTCTTGTATACAAAGGAACCACAATTTAAAAAAAAACTATTTTAAAAGAAAAAGATTGATATCATCTTGCCTAGACACAGCCTTTAAAGTTCAGCGTGGCCAAAATGTACGAATTATTAGGTTTTTCATTTTTATCAAAACGTGTAGGGATTGTACGGATTGTACGAATTGTAGGGATTGTACGGATTTTTAGCCCAGAAACCATTCTAAAAGTCTTCACTTAATTCCTTCACTTAAGTCTTCACTCTGTAACCTGTAGAGTTTTGATAAAGTGCAAAAGATTTCAAATTTAAAAAAATGTTAAGGTCAAGGATTACAATTAACATCATTTCTGCTGGGGAGGGGGGTCAATTTTTTTTTACATAACTCAAAAAGTATTGGTCTGAGGCTGTTGAAATTTTTTAACTTTTCCTAAATACACAAAGCCCTCCCATTAGGCCTAAACCCGGACTTTTATACCAACTGCCTGAGTCTTTAGGCACATTGCCTGAATGACTACTTTTTCCTGTAACAAACTAAATCTTTGTTTTGACCCACTTACAGTTGTCAGATTTTGATAACTTTTAGTTTTTTAAAAAGCTTATGTCATAAGGAAACGGATTGCACAAGTTTTGCAAAGATGTTTTTGCAAATTATTATCTAAAACTTAGCAACATTTTTTGCATACTTGAAATGACATGGTCAAGGGCTTTTCAAAAATGAATATTTTATCATTATTGGATAATATTTTTACAAACATTTTTACTATAAAACAGGATTTTTAAAAAAAAATAGATTTTTGCAAATTTGCAATTTTTTTGCAGATTCTGAAAGTAGAGCACAAGAGCTTTCCAATGATGTATCATTTGTCATATTTGAACATCTTACATGGGATGTAAAGTGGGGGTCAAATTGCCCCCCCCCCCCCAGCAGCAAAACCCATCCAAATTGAGAAAATGAAAAGAATAGCTGACATAATAGTA